CATACAGTAAAATAAAAAAGATTTTGAGAAGACCTTACATTGACAAGTGATTGTAAAATATGAAGATTTTCAAAATTACACAATTATCCAAATTTATGACATGTCCCAATTTACTCTTAGTTTGTTGATCTTGAACAACATAAGATTTAGGTGAAAGGGTAACGTAATATCTAAGATCAGTTAACTAACTATTAGATAATAGGCTAATTGATAGACTAAGACATAAAGAACATTGTAATAGAAAATATTATATTGACTAATGAATCTAAAATCATTTAGTGACGTAGAGAAACTATTAATAGTATAGATGTGATTATAATGTGAATTTAAGGTTGAATAGGTATGACAACTATTGAAAGAAGTCATGTGATTTGTGAAATTAGAGTAAAAAATTATAATAGAATGATTACTTACATGTTTAGAGGTGAACACATCTATAGTAACTAGATGAGTAGAGGCTGAAGTAAAGACACTACATTGACAAAAGTGAGTAAGTTCAAAATAAAAACACATGAATGTTAACATTATATATTCCTAAAGAGAAAGTAGTTATACTTTGCTTTGTAACTATAGAAGATGTAACTAAAGTAATCAATCTTTGAACACCATGATCATTAGATCCTTAGGTACAATTAATTGTATTTTGACTTCTATAATGTCTATGATTCTTTTCTTTTAATTGAGTCAATCTTTCTTCTAATAATCTTTATTATGACAATAATCGACTCACCTAAAGACACACAAGAAGTATATTTTCAAAAGATTGTCAATCAATATTAGCAACAACCTTGTAGGTATATTGTCAAATACACTAGAGCATAGAGGGTTTTCAAATAAATCTCTTTGACAATTAATTCACTAACATCAACTAAAATGGTAGGTAGTTATCGATTAAATAAGAATTTATAAAAAAATTCAAAATTATTCTAAAGGGCTATTAAAGATTATATTAATCTTTTTTCTCACAATAGTATATAAAATCTTGATCACTTTGAATTGATAATGATTTCATGAGGGCAATTTGATCCCACAATACACTAAGATGAAAATAAATATATGAAATATCTTGGCAAGGTCAGAAATGCAAGCAGTCAGTTAAGAAGAGAGGGCCAAGGACAAGGTGTCTAAGATCAATTTCGTGACTACACTTATATCCAAATCAAGTACCTTGGAGGAACCTATAGGTATTTTCTGAGTGGGATGATGTTGCAGCAAGCTCTTGATGTCCTTATTCACAAAATTAGATTGTGTGTAAATACAACCTAAGTAATTGTACACAAATTTTGTATTAGAAAATTTATGTTAATTGTAGATGAATAGAGTGCTTCACATAATTATTGATTCATATAAGTATTTTTAAATTGTTCACATGCCACTTGTCCATTTAACAATCAAATTCACTCATTAAATTAGAAGTATATTTTTCTTCAATTTGAGGTTTAATAGGCATAGATGTTATCCCATTTTTGTATTTTCACTTCTTTCCATGTAAAAAGTGATTCATCACATAACTTCAATACAAATAATTACAACCATTTAGTTAAGTGCTATTATGATATTGTCATGATAAGTAAATGGATGAGAAGATTAAAGGTGAGATTAATAGCTGAAAGAAACCAAACTAGAGGTAGATAATTCAATGATGAAAAGGTTGACGTAGTCATGTTTTACTTCAATGTAGGTAAACTATGGTGTCATTTTGAGCAAAATGACTTAAAGATGGCTTGATACATGGTAGAGAAATCATGAAAGTAAATAACCTTGATACCATGAAAATAAAGAGAGAAGAGAGGGAGAAGGAGAAGGAGATGACAATAAGATTGAGATGAGAGAGAGAAAAGAGAGCCATCAAAATAAATAAACAAAGTGACAAATCGTCCACACAAAATAAGTTCTAAATTTTAATATTTATAAGCTAAATAACAGGTGAATATAATAGCATGTGATGAGCCTATCACACTAATAGTTTATAATGGTCCATTGTATTAATATAATTGACTTTAGATACCTCATGATTAGTGACTAAATTTTATTGTGTTTAACCAGTATCTTGCTCAGCGAGAGAGAAGTTGAAAGAGTCATTCTCAAGTACTATTGTCATTCACCATCCACTTTTGTTACCATCACTATCAAACCCTTAGATTGAGAGACTTGTCATTTGCTACTACCACCTATCATTCATGTCTCATTATAATTTATTCTCGCCAACCATCATCCAAAGTTGCTTAAGCTATGTCACCATTGAGTTGTGCTTTACAAATGATGTTTTTAAGCATATTTAACATTGCAGCATTCTCACAACACTAATGCCTAATCACTAGCAATACTAGCCATTGTCACCAAGTTATCAACCAATGTGTTCTAGTAGAAATCACTACTTGTTATTTTACTATTCCATTTATTGTACTATCATACCAATTTTTGGTCAACAATTATGTTAGTTTGTTGGCCTAGTGAAGTGTTAGACACAAATTATTTATTGAATTGTCAAACACAAATCACTATTTGTCTTTATTATTCTTAATCAATGATCAACATAGTCAATGGTCAATATTGGTAAATTGTCAACTATCAAGAAATTAATTTTTATGTGTTCTTACTTTTTTATTTTGGTGTGGAGCTAAACTCTCTTTTTAGGTTGAATATTTATTTGTCTAATATATTGCCAAAATGAATGATGTTGATTGGTTTATAGATAATAGTCAATGGTCAATATTTTTAAAACATCAACTATCAAGGAACCAATTTTTATGTGCTCTTGCTTGTTTCTATTTGTGTGAAGGTAAATCTAAACTCTATTTCTTTTTAGGTTGAGCATTTCTCTATTTAGTATATTGTCTATGTGAGTGATGTAGAGTGATTTATAGATAAGTTGATATTTAATCAAATAATTGATGGAGAGTGTTATAAAATTTTATTTGTTTCAACTAGTTAATTTATTATGAGTAGAACATCATAACCTCAACAATTCTTTAATCATGTCAATCTATTTCGTTTCAAATCATATGAAAAGATAAAATATATCTTAGACTCATAACCTATTGTGAGAGTCAATTTAAGAATGTTTGTTGAGGGTTTACTTAATTAGGCACCTATCTTACATCAGCTAAATGGATCACTACCAGCACATACATCATATCACATTTGTGAACTTTATATAGTTTTTAATTATGTTGGACAAACCTTCTCCATCGGTCTTATTGTAGGAATCTATGCATGCAAACATACAAACACTATGTGTGCAATGTGTGCTACCATACACCTTACTATCACATGTATCTGTGCACATAATATACAACATCCTAAATTGACGCATGCCTTGAACGTCACACATATTCATGTTGTTAGTTTGGTTCCAGACCCAAAACTAATTGCCTTTGTCATAGGGTCATCACAAATACCTCATATGCTTAAAGTTAACATTAGGGAATCAAGGGTCAGCACTATAGATTATCAAGCCAATACTCATAGAAGCATTAGCTCATATGTGAGAGACAATTATATAGGATGCCAAACATGGATAATTGGAGAATTGTTGATTCAATTAAAGAAATGATGCTTGTAAAGTTACACAAATTTCTTTACCAAGAATAGAAAATTCTAGAGGCTGTAGAGAAACTTTTTCTTTTGTAGAAAAACATGTCAGAGATTTTAGACAAGAGATTGCAAATGAGGGTGATTCACAAGATTCAATGAATTTCAGGTTACATAGCACTAAAAGCCATAGTTTCCATGTCATCTCTTTAAAGTATCTTATATGTAATTATTATTATTTTTACATTCTTAGTAACTTTTCATTATATAATGGACAATCTAGTTTAAATAGCTTAGGGTTGGTGCTATGATCTTCTCTTCATAATTTTTGAACCAACTTTAAAGTATACATTCAAAATTCTTATATTTCTTATTTATAGAAAAACATATGAAATAAATGAGATTTTTGAAATCATCAAGTACAATTTTTTTATTCTAATCTACAAACATATTATCACATAAAATGGATAAAATTGTACAAATATAGAATGACATTAGATAATAATGATGAAAGAATGCTAACTATGAATCAATTGTCATTATATTAATATATAACAAGTTAAATCAAATTTGAGGAGCAAATAAAACATCTCCTAGAAACAATTGTGAGCTTATCTTCACATCACTAAATTAATTGACATTAAAATATGCTTTTTTGGTAATATGATTATAGAAGGTTGTATTTGACATATTGACCGAAATAGATTTACATCATAAGGTGTCTGGTAGAACAACATGTAATACAAGATAAACAATAAGGGGATTTAAAGACAATGAGAAATAAATGCGTACTACATATGAGGAATTATCACCAATGGTGGAGGCAACAAGCTTTATAGATATCTTATTGTCAAATGTTGAACTGATTAACATTTAAATTTTTAATAAATGAGTCAAAATTAGTAGCAAGCTGCCTATCTTTCTCTCTTAATGTAGATTGATTACATACTTGATTAATAATCACTAAACGAGGTTTTGATTTGTAGTTGAGTGAATAACATTCTATCTTGTATCACTTTTTCATTATGTCTATAGACTTTACAGTGTGTGCAATATACATAGTCCCTCCTATGTCCTTGATTATATTTAAGATTCAATAACTATTTAGTAATGTTTACATTAATATCAAATCCCTTGGGTTAGGTCCTTGATTATTCAACCACAATCAGTTGAAAATACTTGTCAAATCCCGAGGGTTCGTCGAAAGACTCCTGGTTCTTCTCTCTCTCCCGCTGATGATCATTGCTTCTCCTTGGTTTGTATCAATCAATTATCCTTCTCTCCCTCTCTCTCTAGCGGAAACAATGGCCGTTTCACAGTGAGAGAGAGAGAGAGAGAGAGAGAGAGAGGTTATTTCGATTTCCACTTATTTATCCGATGAACCACCGAGGCATATAGATAGAGGAGGTGATGTACGGAGTGGAAGGTTTTATTCCGAGAGTGCATACCGTGGCGGTGGAGAGCGCTTAGCAGGATGGGTCGTGGCCGATCAGAGCGAGCAGCATCGCCTGGTAGTCCCCGGAGGTGTCACTGGCGACGGCATGGGCAAGGCTCACACTGTTCCGCCTGTAGTAGGCCTCGCTGACTTTCCTCAGGTCAACCTCTGCGCGGGTCGCCACCACCCGGGTCAGCGCCTCCTCATCCGTGCCCAGCTTGTTGATCGCCAGCCGGATCACCTTCTCGAAGTATTCCTCGGGCAAGCTCAGACACTGGATCGCCGCCACCAGCAGCGACACATACTCGTCCTCCGCCTCCGGCTCCAAATCCTGCCAGCGGAAACGTCAAATTAATGGTGGGCACAAGTCATTAGAAGGCCTAGGGTCGGGGGTTCGGCGAGGGCAGACCTTGAGAATGGGGTTCTCAAAAAGGTCGATGTAGTGGTTGAACGTTGCGGCGAGCTGCGTCTTGCTGCGGGTGGATATGATCCTGATGAGGTCCTCGTGGTTGTAGGCCTTGTCGCTTATATTCTCATGGAGAATCTTCGCCTCTGATTTCGCCAGCACCATGTTCACCTCCGTCCCCTCATAGCGGTATGCAGTCAGCAGGGGAAGCAGCAGCTGAAGGCGCATGACATCGGATTAATGCCCTCGCGTCGAATTCCCAGCCGACGATGATAAGCCCCAGGAATACCACAGATGTCTCCCCGTAGTATACCCCCGTAGTACCTTACGGATGTCTCCGGTGGTGTGGCACGCGACGTCCTCTTCGAGGGATTTCTTGTAGCGGACGTGGTACGCTTGCCTGACCAGGATGAGCTCAGTGGAAGATCTTGCACAGGCTATCTCTATGAGAACACGGTCTCTAGGGTTCCATTTTCTCACAGCTTCATTAGCCAAAAGAGCGTCACGCTCAGCAGGATCTAATGTCCATAGCAGCACCAATTTCTGATCAAGAAGCATAAACCCAAGGATTAATGAATGTTTTAGGAGACACCTGAACTGTAGAAATATATGCCTGCATCTCAATTGATCGTATCGAATGCCGGCTGAGTGGATTAATAATCGGAGTCATGATACCACGACAGTCTTCATCCGAAAAGTAATCGCGATTTCTATCCTTCCTATGTCTGGTAGCCAAACATACAAAATAAAAATATCATTTCTCCTTCTACCAGGAAAAACATCTTGATCACAACAATATCTATGAATGAAGATGAAGGAACGGTAAGAAGAATGGAATGGTATTTGTTACGGAAACGGTCATTCATTGATGGCTGCTCCGCATTGAATGAAAACTAAGATAATATTCATGGCCGTCATTGAGTGAAAACTAAGCCCGGCATAGAGAAAGGTAAAGGAAACGTAGAATGGAAAGGAGAACTTAGAGAGCTACGAGTGAAAGGCTTCGACCTCAAACTCCTGACTCAGCTCCTTGTCGAGCGATTTGAGGAGATCCTCCCCGTAAGTCTCAGCGTACACCTTCCGGATCACCCTCCGCTGCTCCGCATTTCTGTGCGCCAGTATCGATACGATCTGACCCTCGTTCGTTCCCCATCCTGCAAATGGCACATCAGCGAACCCTGTTTCAAACCTTACTAAGAAACCTGCATAAACTGCCTCTGCCTCGTGGATCTAGACGCCATACTATCCAAAAAACATAGAGGATGATGAAAAAAATTAAAAACGAACAGACCAACACTAGTCAAGGAGGAAAAACCAGAATAAGAACAGTTGAGACGGGAGCAAATCGAGAGGTTCGTGCGGCAATTAGAAGTAGACGAATGGCTAAGATGATCAACATCACAAGCTGACCAGAAAACAAATAAAGATCTAAGCACTAGAGCGATATTCTTCCACCACAAGCTAGCGCCGGCAACATCCGGCAGCAGGCTCACCCGATCTCCGCCGCCTACGCACGGAACACAACGATCCATCCACCGGATCACACACATGCTCCGAGATCGAGGAGCAAGTCGCTCCCAGACCGAGACCAACAAACCACAGAAAATCGGCAGCGAACGGAGAAGATCACTCGGTCGGAGGAAAGGAACGGAAAGGAAGCTGCAGAAGGTACCTGAGATCCATCTTCCACATCACAAACATGCTCCGAGATCGAGGAGCAAGTCGCTCCCAGACCGAGAGCAACAAATCACAGAAAATCGGCAGCGAACTACTCGGTCAGAGGAAGGGAACGGAAAGGAAGCTACAGAAGGAACCTGAGATCCTTCCACCACATGACACGCAGGTTGCTCCCAGACATAGAGCAACAAACCAGTGGAAATTGGCAGCGAACGGAGAAGATTATTCGGCCGGAGGAAGGGAAAAGAAGGGAAAGGCAGCTGCAGAAGGTACCTGAGAAGGCCTGGTAGAGCCTCTCGGCGTCTTCAGCGGGGGAGGGGACATCTGCCGGAACGGAGAGCGTCGACATCGCCGCGGAGATGAGAGTAAAGAACGAGCGTTGGAGTGGAGCAGGTGAAGAGTCTGCAGAGACCTTGGCTACCAACTTATAGCGGCTACCACGTCCAGCCTCGGAGCGTGATCCGCGTGGCGTCTCTCTCTCTCTATATCATAAAGACACTTTTTTGATTAATCCCCCTATCTAATTTACAAGTAGATACAAAACACAGATATATTTATAATATTCAAGATACTTTTATCGGGTGGATAACTTTCAGAACTGCTGATACTACGATTTCTACCGACATGCCGTTTTAAATTTACGGGACGATTCTTGACATTCGAAATTTTTCAGGGGTGCATATGTAAAAGCGCCTTTTAATGTAAGACGGCCAATTTTAGTAGGGTCACCGTCACCATAGGCGCCGTACTGGTGACGTGATGCCTGTCGAGTCGATGGCACGTGGTTCTTCGTGCCGATTGGAACCATTCGCTAGGCATGAACTCTCTCTCTCTCTTAGACAAATTTCTCATTTTCAGGGTCCCAAAATTCAAGTAACAAACATTCAACCTTATTTTTCAGGGCCCCAAAATTTAGTATTGAAATGGGGCGAAATGAGTTCCAAATCCTACAATTATTCATATTTATTCATTTATTTTTGTGTGATAAAGTGTGTTAATTCTCATTTTATATAAAACATATGAATGGGATGGGCATGCATAATTGAGCAGAAAGGGGATGACCTCTCTCACAACTAGCTAGAGGTCCACCATGTTACATTTCTGAGATTCTCACAAGTCTCATTCATGTGTTAATGGAGCCTTCCACCCATCCTCCCACATGCACATACAAAACCCTACTTGCTCTACATATGCACACACCATTCATATCCATGCTACACCACCAAGGTTCATATCATAGCCTCTCACAAGGTTTTAGAGTGCTACTATGCAGAGTCATGCGATTATACAAGTTGCTGTACATTGCAAATATATGCAAAGTGATGAAGTTCTGTCCCCACTTGGAACTAGTAGGCTTAAGGTTGGCAGTAAGGAATTAAAGGTCAACATCATAACTAACAAGCCAATACTCATACCAATATTATTATTATTTGTAGTAATAGTTGGAGCTTTTAGCTCCAAGAGATTGTAAATGGAGGTGATTCACAAGATTCAATGAATTAAAAGTTGGGAAGCACTATAAAGCCTTAGTTTAGAAGGCAACAAAATTCTTAAGCTATTCTACCAAGTAATGTCCCCATCTCAAATTTATCTTGGCCACCTTTTTAGTATCTTTTCCAAGATTATTGATATTTTTATAATATCAATAAAATTAGGGCTGATGGTATAATATTCTCTAGATGGATACATATTAAATGTTTTATATTTCTAATTTTAAAATATTTGTGGGAGCTATAAACAACGAGTGAGATTTTTGAAATCAGCAAGTTCATTTTTTTTGACTCTACAACTAAATATTATCTAATAAAATGCATAAACTATTCTTCCTATATTTTTGAAATAAAGATTAAAATCATATTTTAATTAGGAAGTGATAACCAAGTGGAAAATACTATAATTAAATGACTGCAGAAATACAAAATGGCATAGAATAATGATGATGAGATAAAATATTTATAAATATTAAAAATTCGATTGGAACCGTGAAAGTAGAAAATTCCATATCCTACGATCCCATTAGATTACTAATATGATAGTATCTACTATATTTTTAGTATACATACAAATGCTTAATGTTGACTTTGCAACGGGTGCCTCAAACAAAAAAATATTCTCCATTTGAAACATGCAGATTGTCCACAGCTTTGTTACTCCAAGATAAATCTTCACCATCGGCAAAACCCTACGACTGCCTGCTTCTTTTTAACATCAAAGCTGGTAAGCTGTCAATTCTTCTCGTACCCAGTTTGGAAAATGACAGCTTAAAAAAATTTATGTGCCTTCAATGCTCCATTGACCAAATTGCAGCATACATATATCGAGAGATTTCTATTTAAAAATTATTTTCGTAGGGCAAACCAGACACCCATCTTTTTGTCAACATTATCAGCACGATATTGTAGATAGGAAGCTTAAGAGAAGAGTATCTGACGGTCAAACTAATGAGAATCGACAAGCCATTGAGAGAGTACTAGTCTACATTCAGACTTAGACCCAGGCCCAGAAAGAGAATTTGGCCATGCCGTTGTTTAATGTAGGGGGACGGCTGTTGGGGTGGCCCACTTCAGAGAATAATGATACATTTATGATCCTCAGAATGAAAATTCTCACGGAATCATGAAATGAGGCTGGCATGATTTGATCAGCCAATTATTATATGCAAACATATATACACGATAAGAGGAAAGTTCCCTAACATCACGGTCATAAGATAAATGAAAATTTATTTAAAGTAATATTAATTATCACAGACAATAATATTCTACGAAAAAATAATTAGGAAGCTGCAAGGTTTTCTAGCTGAGACCGAGTCCACTGCTGAAAGGTCGGCAAGTAGCTTGCAGACCGTTGATTTCCCTTAAAATCTTCATCTTTTTCTTTCAGTTTCCTATTTGCAACAGAGGAGAGGAGAGAAAATAATCTCTCTCTCTATCTCGGTCTTATGGGAGAATAATCAAAGAAGACAAGAACGAGAACGGATTAAAAGGCCAAGAAACTCAATCAAAAGGTGATGTTCTTGGTCAACCTTCCCCAAAATTCAAATAAAATTCAAGCAAAGATTTAGGGTAAAAGAAGTAAGTCAACGGATGAGAAAAACCCTGCGGATGAGAAAGGAATATCCAAAGACATAACCCAGCAACGATAAAATAAGCAATTCGGAAGAGAAATGAAAACCCAAAGAAGCATCACGCAGCAAAGATTCAGAGGAAAGTAGGTCAACGGAAGAGAAATACCCCACGGAATGTTCTTTCCCACTGCTGCAGAATGCCCACCCAGTCTTCACAGCAGGAAGGGACTCCCCCATCCTCTAAGCTGGCTCAGTTGGTGGCCGCTCCCTGCTGACTGCTGCTGGAACGTGGTCACCAATTGATTGTGATCATCATAATAAGGTGGCCAAGAAATGCATACAAAGAAATCACTTACAGGAAACGTGCAGCCGCAGTTGTCGCCCGTTATCAAGGGCATCATCTAACGACTTATTATTTGACAAACTCAAAAAGAAAATCTTCCTCGGCATCATCATCTACCAATGTGGAGCAGCAAACCAGTGACACGAGCATCAAATCACCAAACATCACCCACAACGATAAGCATCAACCACCACTGAAATTATAACCCAGCTACAACAGCAACCGACCCATCTCACCGATCAGCCAGTCATCATCATCACCCTTTCACGATCAAAGCTAAAAAGTACAGGATCAAATCAAGTCCAGAAACCACATAAGGCTAAGTATAAGTCAAGATAACAAAGTCATAAGAGCATAATTTCAGCAGGTCTAGAGACCTCAAAAGTTTGATATAAACTAGTTTTCAGACACAGGCTACAGGACGAAAACAGAGAAAATATCAACCTTGACGGGTCCATGCAATAAAGAACCATCATCCTAGTTGTTCACTGAGAAATAAACAGTCCCACTGGTGCGTGGATCTCATGAGGTGTGTTCACATAGCACGGGTAGTTTCATCAATTATCCTGAAAGAATAACGTGAAGTTAAGAAGGGAAATCAAGGTATCAACACAGGAACCAAAGAACATTGTCAGTGCATTTAGCACCTGATCTGAAACACGAGGGGATGGGCTCCTTGGAGAAACGCTGTGATCTGGAGACCGTTCACCACTACGCCTATCAGATCGGTCATCTCGAGGACTCCTCCGTGGAGATCGGCTCCTGTGTGGAGATTGGCTCCTGCGAGGACTGCGTCGAGCAGGTGATGCGCTGTATTCAAAAGAAACATGACAAGAAACTTAAATATGACCCGCTGAATGAAAGTGATCAAAAAGACCTGTTCAATGATGATAGAAAATTGTTATCAACCTGTCAATTGAACGGCTCCTGCTTCTATGATCAGATTTTCGTTGAGTACGACCTTTCTCATAACCTGCACTCAAGCTTCGGCTTCTGCTTCTATGATCATCTTTTCGTTGAGTACGACCTTTCTCATAATCTGCACTCAAGCTTCGGCTCCTGCTTCGACGACGATAATCTCTGTCTCTGTGGTCAGGACTCAAACTCCTGCTCCTACTTCGGTAACGATGATCTCTGTCTCTCTCATATCTGTCACGATCATACCTACCCAAACTACCACTTCGGCTTCGCCTTCTGTAATCTCTATCCCTGTAGTCATCCCGGTACCTGAAAATAAGATTAGGAAATCAAAATATACCCTTCCTTGTTTATACTTCGTAAAATAAACTACACATGGAGATGACCATACAAATGTTTAAAACACAACGATAATGTGTTATTCTATTGCAACAAGCTGATACCATTTGAAGTAAAGCTGAAGGTCTTACCTTGGCCTAGGGCTGCGACTTCTAGATCTCCCCCCTGATCGGGGTAAAGCCTCAACAATTCTTCCTTTACGGCTGAAAAGTCAATTACAATTTAGAAAAGCATGCCAAAATGAATGCACATAGATCACTAATTACGAATATATGAATAGAACATATGAAAAATGACCATCGCAACGAGAATGGAGATAACATACAAAATACAAGCGTCAAGTCAATAACCTTATGATGGCCCTAAGTCAAGACATCTCTGATCAATCTAGGAGAAATATAGAGATGAAAAGAGGGTTAAATAAAATTAAATAAAATGAATACATGGGTGTTGAAGCATTGAAAAGGTATAACATTAGACAAATAGCAACGAGAATACAAAGATTACATACCCATTTATCAGAAATAAGGCATATGCATTAGTGTTGACATCAGGAAAAATGTAACCAATGCAGGTAAAGGATATAAAAAACATGAAGAGGAATATGACAAAAATAAATTGTCAAATCCAGGCAAAAAAGAATACTGAAGAAAATCAAGTCATTGTAGCGAGAGATACTACCAGCGGATAAATATGCTGGAAAACCACATAGACAATGGTGATAAAGTGCCGTGTATTAATTTGATACAAATGGATAAAATAAAATAAAACTCTAAAGGGAGGAAGGAGCCACAATTTATCCAAGCAGTGATTCTAAGGTCACGATTGAGCTTAATACCAATTATGCACATTAACTGGTGTCGATCTAGTTTGGCTATAATTTGATAAAGGGATCTGAGATCACTATCAAGCACCTTTAATTGGTAATGACCGATGGAAAGCTTCATACTTCAAAACAGAGCGCAGGATCCCAAATCACAGAGGAAAAAACCATGCACGTTGACAGTCAAAATATGCAGAAGTATACACAAATTTTTCGATCCGTTGAATTTAAGATACTAAATGAAAAGTCTCCACTTTAGACATGAGAAAATATACAAAGAAGAAATTCTCCGTTCAGCGTAGTTACTACATGAAAATTAGCGTGTGCTGTTCATAAAAGCCACTCAAACCGATACATTCCACTCACGTAGTTAAGTGCTGAGGGGATATTCAAGAATAAACATGGCGAGCATCAAAAATCGTCTCAAGAAAAACCTATCGGGGCTAAAAAACAGAACAGACATGAAAAAAAACAGGTAGCTTACATGGGTTCAGCATTAGGCCCATACTTCGCGAACTGGACCATAATATCCCGGCCATCCACGGTCCTCCCTAAAATCAGGAAAATCGAATGCCGAAAAATTATAGGTGCTGCGAAGGAAAAACCCTGATATATACCACGAGTGAGAACTTGCCATCAAGTTTCTCTACCGCCCTTTGAGCCTCGTCCGCGTACTTGTAACGCACAAAGGCAAAACCTCTTGATTCGCCAGTCCTGCACGCCATCGACATTGCTATTTAAGCGTACAAACACAAACTCGCGAACAGAAGAACGGAAGCAGCAGCAGCAGCAGCAGCAGCAACAGCAACAGCAACAGCATCAAGATGATGGATTGTAGCCTCTCCCTCCCTGATAGTACCTGCGGTCCCTTGGTATGAAGATATCTACAACTTTTCCATATCTATCGAAAAGAGGGAAAAGATCGTCCGCCGTTGTCCCTGTGGCATTAGAAGAACAAGCAAATAGAATCAGAGATTCGAAATCGTGATCAGGCAGAAACGAGCGGGAACCCTAGACAGGAGCCAGCGCTGCTTACGGAATGTGATGTTAAGAACGAGAAGCGAATAGGTGTCCCTGATGTCCGGAGGGCCGTTCCTCCCAAAATGCGACATCGCCCCAGCGAAGTACGGAACCCTCAGCGAGAGCGAGAGAGAGAGAGAGAGAGAGACGTTAGGGCTAGGTTTAGGGTTTCAGAAGACGGATGACCTTTCTGACGGATGAGGAGGGGTCGGCAGAACGTAACAAGAAGGGCGTAGTGGGAAGGCGGTTGGAACTAAATGAGAGTCTCCCTGATTATTACCCTAATTATGATTTATGCCACTTGCAGTGGGTACCGCCGACTGGACACGGAGAAATGGGTCGCTGGGTCAGCGCCAGGTCCAAAGTTCGATGGAACTACGATATATATATACATATGTATTTATTTTTTAAAATCTCATTTAAATTTTTTATTTCATTTTAGATTGAAGAAAAAACGTTTATTTTTTAACATGGAAATGGGATTATCTCGTAAAAATATTTTGCAATATTGTTTTTCCATATAAAACCTTGGATGTGCTTTATTGTCCACTTGCTTTTCAGTGAGCGTAAAATATGATTCTAAAAGAATATAAAATATTCAAATATATCCCTTTTATTCTTATTTCATTTCTCAGATGCCGATTGCTTATTTTCTGTGACGTGGCGTGATCTCATTCGGACAACTGTTAACGTTTGGTACTGTGGGGCAGCTCCGGAGAAACGTGTCACAATTCTACTGGGATCTTCGATACGCGCGAGGTTCCTTCCTTCCTCCTCGGCTTCGTCTTTTCCGTCTCCATCGTTCTCTCGGTCTTCCACTGATGACGATAATGATGATTGGGAGGTGGAGCTGGTGAATTCTCCAGTCTCCCTCCTCCGCCATGTCTCCGTTTCCCGAGGGCTCCCTCAGCGGCGGGGCGGCAGCGGAGAATGGACTCGCCGGCGGCGAGATGGGCCGAGGAGGGCGCTATGAGGCCTCCGGTGGCGCCGGTCCTAGCCTTAATGGTGTCTCCCTGCCTGGAAATCGGCTTTATTCTCTGTTGCCTGACGAGGGATGCTCGGATAAGGAAAGCATGAGGAGGCTGAGGCGCTGCATCGTGGCGGCGGCGAAGGGTTTCTCCATCGGGGCGGGGCTGAAAGGCGGGCTCGCGCTCTTCGCCATCCTTTCTAGGCTGAGAAGTCGGAGAATTTCTGCGTCTTTGAGGTTCGATGGAGTTCTTTTTTTTTCATGGCCCTAACCACATCTCTTACACTTCTGTCTTCGGGTGACGACTGATCTTTGAGTTGACATTCTGATTAGATTGGTCCGTAGGAAAAGGCGAAAAAATTATGATTCTATACTAATGTTACAATGTTTATCATGTTAGTCCCATATCTCGTAGAAATCCCCATTCATTTGCTGTTCTGTTCACCGTCGCTTTTTGCATTTCATTTCAGAAAGGCTGGAAGTCTTTCGAATGCAGAGGCAGTTTCGGCTGCACTGCAGGATACTTTACGCTACGGCCTTTTCTTGGGAACATTTGCGGGTACTTTTGCTTCTGTGGATGAAGCCATTTCTGCGCTTGGAGGGAACAAACGGTCAGTTACATATGGTTTTCACTGATTCTGTTTTAGTTTGTTGTGTTAGTTACTGTTGTTCTTCCTGTCAAAAACTGAATTTATCACTCAATTATTGCAACCGTTCATTTTTTTCCCGGTGCGTTTCTTAGAACAATATCCTTTTCTAATTTTATACTAATTATCCGCCCTAATTGGCTGTAGCGATCTTCTTATTCTAACAAACTGCTTGCTCAATTGGTAGAATCTGTTTGTAAAGAAATTATTTATTCTAAAATGGGAATATTCTTTAAGAAAGATTAGATATGACGAATTTTGCAGGGACACTATTGGATGATCTTGACTGTTCGTTATTTTTGGTTTTAGTTAAGATTGTGCCTGCGGGATGCAATCATTTTGTAGTGATTTTTTATTTATTTTAAAAGCAATACGAAAACGTATTCTTATTTGAATGAGTAATATATATATATATATATATATATATATTCTGAAACAGTGTGCTGACATCTTTTAAACAATTCATTTTGTTCAAGGTAACTTTCAATCCTACGGTTAGGAGTGGATGACACTTGAGACTACTTTTGTTGATTCGAATTGATAAACCTGTTGTTTTCCATCACTTTATATATTTTATTAGAGCCTATTATTACTTTATGGGAGGATTAACTCAGACGTCCTAATGTTGTAGGATAGCATAAAAAAACTGTGGACTTTTACAGGGGGGAAAGACAAGGTGCATAATTTAAATCGGTAAACCAGCCTTGGACTTTTGATCATGTGTGGAGGAGGTCGGGGCCATAGTCAAAAAGTTTTACACTGAAGGGATTTGAAGCCCAAGTAGTGGAAGGGGCCGAGTTTAGGGGGATGCAAATGAGAGGCTCCATTGTTTGGTGATAGGAGGTTGGAGATAAAGCCAACGATGGAATAAAGGTGAAGTTCAAAAACAAACGTGATGAACTACCGAGGCACTTCTGTTTGGTCTTATGTGGACTTGTGCTCATAATGTGTGGAAGAAAAGGGACTTCTAATAGCCCCTGTCTCCTGTCCAATCATGGCCAAAGACCATTTGCCTTATGTGGACTTGCGCTTATCCAGGAGATCGTGGTCATCCTCCTCTCTTTCAAAAAACTACATAAAATTTTATTACAGAGGTGAATTAATGGGTACATGGGGGCAAGTTGAATAGCCACATGATGATAGCTATCCGGAAGAAAAAGGTGCTAGGAGATCCCAGTTTTGTTGAGCGTGACTCATGTTGTTCAGCCATTTAATGGTACTACTTGCAGGGGGAAGTGACTGGACATTTTTCTGCTTGATGAAAAGTCATCATTAGTAGCTTTTAACAAGAAAAGGTGAGTAAATGAATTGTTGCAGAAGTGTGAAGAGGAAAACTGTTATAGGAAAAATTATCGCATATATTTGTCCCTTTCCATGGAAATTAGCTATTGATTCTTTGAGGTTAGAGCTTAGTGTTGAGCGAAGAAAATATTCTTTATTCAAGTAGTTCTAGTTTGCCCGAATAAAATATGCAAAGAGAGAAATGAAAAGTTAAAGTGTTGTTTGAGGACAGTGATAATGCAATCCCCCTGAGTCTGAAAGTAGTGTCTAGGTTTCCTTTTTTTGGGAAAATTAGGTGCTGGTTGAATCAGAGGTCGGATTAAAAATGCAGAGAAGTTGTATGGAGTTTATAATTGGTTGAATTTGGTGAAGGTACACTTCCTTTGCTTTACCTATTATTTCGAAACATACTCTGGGTTCTGTGTTACATTACCTCATGTGCCTTCCTGATTTTAGTTATAGTTGCTTTATTTTACTTGTTGGGGTGTGGGTTAATGGGTAATGGGTGACTTCCATAGCCTTGTTAATGCTCTTAATTTCCCTCTAGTGTGCTTTTGACAGGTGTACCTCTCATACATGTCTGACATAATTATGAAAATTTGACATGAAGAAAAAACCTTGGTTTTTAAGTAAATTAGGCTGACCTTTCTTACAGGACGGCAAAGTGGAGGGCACTGGTTGCTGGGGCCATTGCAGGACCATCAATGCTTTTAACAGGACCAAAGACCCAGCATACAAGTCTTGCATTATACATCCTTATGCGTGCTGCAGTCTTGGCATCACGCTGTGGAATAAAGAGCAAACGATTTGGGAACGTTTGTAAACCTCTGACCTGGAGATATGGTGACATATTTCTTATGTGCCTGTCATCGTCACAAATACTGTATGTGGTCTTTCTGCAGGCATTTGAACAATATTTGGTTCATTGTTTAAGTTTTTCAGGAAGCATATCCTTTTTTGAAAAATCTATACTGCCGAATATTTTTATTTTTTTCCGTAATGAACCGCTGCCAGATTACTCATCTGTCTGGCCAATGTAACTAGCCTAGTATTTACTTAAACTTCGAAAGCGAATTTCAGCTTGAAGTTAGATTTGCCTTATATAATCTTTCTTAATTTAACCAGGTCGACATTAAAATTTTTTTGCTATCAACTTGGGTCATCATAATATAAGGGTTTAAAATGCTGAAAAATTGATCCAACTTGTTTGAGTCTGTCAGAGAACCTAGTTAAAGAATGAAAGATCTAGCTTTATAGGCTTATTCTTCTTTCTTAGTAAAGGTGGCGTTTGATTGATATTTAGGGCTATAAATCAAACGCTGATATTATATTTAATACCATGACCGTGCGTTAATTTTTTTCAGCTTATTACCTTGAAATCCGCATTAATTTTTTTTTTGTATTCATCGCTTTTACAGAATCAGCTTCAGTTTCTCCTTCTAGCATTTGCTGATATCATTTTGTGCTGAATCAAAATATTGGCCATAATATTTCTCTTTTTTTTACAACTTGGAAGCTTTGTCCATTGTTTTGTGCTAAGACTGCATAGTAGACTCTATCTAATTGACGTCACTCATGGTTTTAATCAATTGTGGCATCTAGACTCTACATTAGCGATTTCACTCCCACTCATCCACAGAAGAAAACGGACACTGGTATTTCAACAAACCTGTATTTCTTGTGGCTAGGGTTTTTCCCCTCCAAGGATTCTATAAGTTGTTGAGGGTATGATAGTTCCCCGTTTAAAATAGTACGGTGCCATAGCATTTGATCATAATTTTGCATCTTTTTTTATTTGATTTCATTGCACAATAAACTTTTCCAGGCGTTCGTCATTGTGTCATTTCATGTCTCCTGTAGAGATGAAAAATCTGGTTACTAGACGCAAATAAGTTGTTATTAGGATTTTTCTCTTACACAGTAACCAAGGAATCGGTATTGTACTTAACGTTTTCTTACGTCAAAGATGATAAATAGTCTCCAAGCAAGAAGGTTCATCCAGTCGTAATATACTTAACATCTTAATCTTTTTTTTATTTCATCGAGCTAGTGATGTATTTTGTTGTCCTCAAAGGACCTTCAAGAGTCAAGGATGTCAGGTTCCCCTCGTGTTTTCAAGAACTACTAAAAGCAATATATGTCTAGGAAGAGTAGTATTGAATGAAGTAATATTGAGAGAGAGAGAGAGAGAGAGAGAGAGAGATAGAAAGATAGAGAGATGGAGGAAAAGGGGTTCTATTGGACCCAATAGGCGGGTAGAGTGAAAGAGAGTCTGGGATTCTGGGAAGGCGAGAGTAGACTTCAAGTTTTATATAATGTTGAGATGATTCCCAAAATCTAGCCTCAATCAGTTTCCAACCCCGACTTTTTCCTCACTATGGTAAAAATGTGTAGACTCAAATTTTTATAAGTAGGCTCAACATTTCCCTATTGCAATGAGAAGTGAATTATTCCCTTTTAAACATTGAAGACTCCCACGAGTTGCCAATGGCATAATGAATTCCCACGTTTCTCGCATATAGCCATTGAGATGTAATTTTGCGCTGTTCAGAGCAAAAACTCTCCAAATATTGACTCTTACTAAAGTTTTCCTATTTTAATGTATCAAATTGGTGAATTGGAATTGACGAAAGCATAGAAGTTTGAAGAAGTTAATCGAGCTTCTAAAGGAATAAAGATTGAGTGAGAAGCATAATTATGCAAAATGTTTAGCTGCCAGAAATTGATTGCTTATGAAACTGTGTTTTATCCGTGTGGATTCAATGAATAGTTAGAGGATTATTTAAATTACTGGTGGCATGGGCTATGAATTCAACATTATGGCTACATCCTTTCCAAATTAATTTCTACAATGTACACATAACTTATACCTATTTGCTAATAAGAAAGTTTTGTTAATTTGGAGAAATTCAAGGGACTCTCTTCAGACAGGGGACACTAATAAGATCTGAAGGTCAGATTGCATGTTACGAGTTTCTGTCATTCCATCTGAGATCAGAATTCCACATGCGGCAAAAGAGAAGAGTAAACAATGTGATTTTCGCAACGTTATTTATTTCGACAATTGTTCGTATATATCACAGGAGTCTTTCAACATTTTTCAAGAACTTTCAGTTTCAATTACTCTTTTATTTTTAATGTTTGGGCACCTAATTTTGACTGTTATAACTTGTGTCCAGGGCTGCCTATATATTAAAACAAGATAGCTTACCTCCATCATACATGTCATTTCTTAAGAAGCATGGTGCAAAGGATTCCAGTATACTTGACGGTGTAAAGGATATTGCTAATGGCTCGGCTTTGACAAAGTTGAACGCAATTGAGAACTATTATAAGTCCACTGGTGTTGACCTGAAACTTGATCCTAATATGAAACTTCCTTGCCCGGTATGCAGCTGTCAAATATTAATTCTCATTTACATTGATTAGAGATACTGAAAATAAGACTTTTAGAATGAGATTGATTTAGGAAAGAATAAACGGATTGTTCCTATCTGGGATAAATTTTCTAGCGAATCTTTATCTTTGAATTTTCTGTGACGTAACCATGACAGATGAAGTATAAACCGTACACATTGGCTTATTTTGTTCTAGATTGCTGCAACAAGAAAATTCATGTGTTTGTCAACCATTGACATTAACATTGATCAGGACTATGTCACCTTTATATTATGTTCTATTGGTCTCCCAGATATGATTTCGATGTTTCATCCTTCTTATTGCTGATTTAATGTGATAGAACATAGTTATCTTCTTCTCTGCGGCGAGAAAAGTTTTTTGTCCACTATCTCATTCCGCTGCTTTATCTTTCTCCATGTCCAGCACCTCTTTCTGATGACCGAAACATAACGTGATGGTTTCATTCATGAAAATATCAATCGTTTAATAGCCAGATTGTAGACTATCACAACTACTTATAATGCTCTACATTTGGTGGAAGAAGGATCCATGTCTCTCTTATGTTCACAAGGTTAAATTGGATAGAATGGCTTCTAGACTACTTGAAGTGCTAATGGATTAATCTCTAAAAGTTCTAAATTTATGAGAAAAATGTTTACTGGCCTGTACTAAGTGTTGGAAGATTTACCTAGCTTTTCTCTGCTAAACCGTGGTTTCATCTTAACCAAGAATCCAATAGAATAGTTAGAAAAATGTTGCGTTCGTAAATTATCCTTTTCTTTTCAAGATAGACAAAATGATTAATCTAGTCTGGTAATTCTTCCTAAGGCCTTAACACCTTTCTCCCCGGATGAGTAGATGATGTAAAGGATGGCCCAATCATGCAGCCTTAACACTGTTCTCATTAAATTTCCCTTCTTTTATTTCAAATAATAGATGGAACCTATACTTTTCCAGAAATTCATCACCAATAAGTTTCCTCAATTTTCCTGATTAGAATTTTGATTGTCAAACGGAAGAAGGTTGCCAAATCATGATATCAAATGCTAAATCATGACCTCTGGAGTGCATATGTTGATTCCTCAAGCCATGGTATCTGGAATTGAGCCAGACATTACAACGTTATACAAATTTTGTGAGGACTCATGCCTCTCTGTCATCATTCTTTCTAAACTTCATAAGACTTTATACTGCTCAACTTCAGTATGAGTGCGTGATCATCTGCAAACAAGCTGCCACGGCTACTTAACATAACATTATGAATGTGAGAAAAAATGAACCAATAGCCATGTCATAGCAACCGATCAGTGGTTATTAACAAATAGACAGGACTGTGGCAGTGCAAAACAAACAGATTGAGTAGATTATGTTTTAAAATCTATTTTTCGTTTGATGTCTTGATTGATTGGGAAGATGCAATCAGATAATCAGAAAATATTAACAATTGATGTTTTTCTTGTATTTTATGATTCACTCAATTTCTTCACCCAAGCAAAACAAAGAATACTGCAAATAGATTTACCATCTTCGGGACTTGGCAAGTAGATTCTGCAAATTTGATTCAAAATGAGGTTTATTTTACATGGAAAAATTTGCATGATATCTTTTCTTTTCCAACATAATCGCCTTCTTCCAAGAAACTTGATGGGGGATGACATAGAAAGATATCTGATTCTTTTAAATGAACTTGAGTCTAGGTCATTTCTAAATGCCTAAGACATCTCTGTGGAGATGAAAAATATAAAGAAACAGGAGTCTACAGTATGTCTGAAACTATATAGTGAGTCTGGTGCACCCTTTAGTCAGATGTCATCATACTTCTGCCATGAGGCAGAAGCCTTTTTCCGTATGCATGTTCACTGGTTTAAGAGACTTTTGAGTCATATACTTATTCTACTTATTACAAAAATATGTATTTATGCAACGAAAACGGAAGCAAGGTATCTGTTGATGCACATCACTAGTTCATGAAAGAATAACTGGACATCACAGAAGAGCGAACAACGAACAAATACAGTATATTTTATAAAAAGGCTTTCATTAAGGAGTACCATAACACGAGTTTTTCACTTAACATCCAAGTTTTTGTTCCTGCAACACCTAATCTGTTGCATCCACAATGCTCGTGCTTTGCCATAGTTTTATCTTACATGCCTGTTCAAGGTTCTCCTATTGCATGATGGACAACACGTATTGCTTCTCATGTCAACGTTCAGCACCCTGCATAATTATTCCTTCGTAGACAAGAAAGATATTCTATGTTCATAATCAAGTCATTCATCAGATTCATGCATTGGCCATAGGATCATGAAACTTGTCATGGGATAAGAAAGAGGAGTCTTGCCCATTGCTGAAGTCACCACATCTCCATTGTCACCACGTCAGTAGAACGGAGGGAAAAGAATAATATATCTGGGTTTTCAGTCTTTTTAAAATACATTTAGAACTTAACTTTACCTTACAAGGGTGAGGGACTGAAACTAGGACTAAGATTGGTTTCGAGGAATTCGTAGCCCAATTGTAGCAGTGGGCTATTTTTCACTAATTCAGCTAGTTTGTGGGGAGCTGGAACAAAATACATCTTAAATGTTTTAGCCCTTGTACCTCTATTATTGAAACAGTCATGGAAAATCACAAAGACATTAGAAGAGCAAGAAAAAATAAAAAATTTATCCACTATGATAAACTCCTCAACCTTAGTAAATGGGGTTAGTACTTTTTTCAACTCATGTTCGAGTTCTTCGAAGGATGTCCTCTAAAACCTTCTTCAGCACTTTACTAGTACCCTTTTCTAACATTTATAATATTTCCCTTTGGATATTTCGATCTCCTTTCTCCTTTTTCTTATTCTTTTCATCCTTTAAATGAGTGGGCTAGTTTTATGACATCCAAGGACAGTAACACGGGTTTGGTTTGATGGATCATCCAAGGGCCTCAAATCCTCTTCTTCCCCTTCCCAAATCCTTTGGGTCTTTCAACACTGTGTTAACAATTTCTGTTGGACCTACACCTCTCCAGTCAATGAAAAAGAGTCAATGGAATAGGCAAGCAGGCCTGCAGCATCAGGTTCACCAGGAAAAGCATAAGCATTGGTTGCCAAAAAAATGAGAGACGAAATAGACTCTGATACAGCAAGTTCAGTACACTGAGAGAAGAAAGATTACCCCAATCTTTGTTCTCAGCAATATAAGCATTGATTGTCATAGGCATCTGTAGGTTGTATTGCTATGCTAGCTTTCATCACATGGCGCATGCTTCAACGTCTTCTAACTTTGTTATATCAGTGGATGTTAGCAATTTACAGTTTTAGGAAAGAAGGCAGTTGTGGAAGCAGTTATAAAGTCCTTGGCCACTAGTTCAGACTGTCTTCAAACTTTCTTCCCCACCTACATACTGTCCTCAAATTCTCTACGTATGACAGCATCTGTTGACTTAAGATTTCCACCTAAAGCCGTAGATGGTTCTCCAAAATACATGGACTGACCAGTTGGATAGTCCTTAAAATCATAAGCCGTCAATAAATAAACATAAGGGTTAAAATTAGAAGCCATAAATATACAGGAAACGATTTAATTTCAAACAAGGTTCGAACTGGCATAACGAGATCTCCAGTTTGTGAAGCAATCAGAGTAAGGCCACAATAGTTTGCTGAAATATTAAAAAACTGAAAATTGTTACTATATGTGTGCGATTTACATCTGTCTTTGCTCAGGAATTAGCTCAAAATGCTAGCTTTTTGTGTGCAGGGCTTTTGGCCGATTATCATGTTTACAATAAAAACTGTGTAATCACAACTCTTAGATAGCCGTAGACAGGTTGCTTTACCAGAATTTTTATGCACTTTTTTAAAACATCTTTTCATAATAATGTGCTAAGGACAAGATTTTTTCTCATAGAAATATGATCTGCTGAAAATACAGTAGGCTAGTCCTCTTTAGTATGGCGTTAGTTGACTTCTGAAACTGTCTTGCGGCTGGGAATTTTGAAATGGATAAACCTTGGATGTTATCATATGAGAATCCTACCTCGATGTATCCTTGTGATCTATTGAATGCGAATAACTCTCAGATGGCGGGACAAAGTTGAGAACATGGATGTGCATAGGAGAGTGGAAAACACGGTTGGGAACATGATTCTGTTATTTATTAATGCATGAACCGGAACACATAGAAAACTCAATACTTCCATGTTACAATTAATAATGTTGTGCTGGTTGATGAATATTGTATTATTTTTCCCTCTGCTTGATGCTTTAGTGCTGAAAATAGGTTTGGAGAGCTTCAATGTCGTACTTTCTGCCATGCTTGTAACTAAATGATGCAAACCGAACAAGAATAAACAGTGGGGAAAATTTTCTGTCATATCAATTCATAGAAAAATTGCTGGTTGTATATAAGTATCCCAGCCTGAAAAAAGGAAAACTGCCTCGGTCGAATCCTACAATATAAAGGATACTCAACCAAATTAGGAAACAGACCAACAACCTAACCAATAACAGGAAACTGGACAAATTAGGAAACTGACCAGCAACCTAACCGACACGGGAAATTGACCAACAACCTAACCCTTGATTATATGTTTTTTCCCGCAATAAATAGTTAATGATGGTTCAAATTTGATTTTTCTGCAGATTATCCATGGAAATCAGTCTTGTACGGAGCACGCATTATCCTTCTTTGTTCAAGCCTATGGAAGGGCTTTGCCCGTTTATCTTCCTGTGTATTTGGTTCCTGCTCTGATAGTGCATCGGCAAGACCTCTTGGAAAGGTATCAAATCAGCTTCATACTGTAGAGAAGCTACATAAACTTGTGGAACATAATTTAAGCTGCAGCTGACTGTGCAGATTCCTTGGATACAAATATCACTTGATGAATAGAATCGAGTTTTCTTTTAGGTGAATTATTTAGCTGCTAGCACTCACTCTAAAATGTTTTCCGTGTTAAAACAAAATTCTTACGTGGGAAAAAAAAATCAAGAAATAGTTCTTTCTCCTCCATTCGAACTTTAAATTATTTTATTTTAAAACAATAATAGATTTCTCACTTAAATAAAAATTCTAATGTTAGCCGACCTCCTGTCATTTTTTTATGACTCAACCGTCTTTTTTGTTTTTTTCCTGATATCCTATGCAGACCTTATACAATTTTGTGGAAGAGTCTCATTGGCACCGCAAGATCAAGTCTGTTTCTTTCTGTATTCTGTTCCTCTGCATGGTAATTATTCTATCTCTTAATCTGCGGAGCTATGATTCAGAATCTTGTTTTTTATCTAGTGTATAACTGGAAATTGCTGAGAAGGTAGCTTCTTTAATTTAGTAGTTGTGTTTGTTCATGAGAGGTATGAATGTTGTAGTGCCAGTTGTCCAACACTAATTTTTTACTATGACCATACTTTTGAGTGGCTTCACATGGAACTTGGTTAAATGGGGGAAAAAGTGTAAAAAAAGTGTTGTGAATTTGTTGTGAATGAATTCCCTGTGCAGAAATATGTAAAGTTATGATATATTTTTCTAGTGAGGATATGACAGATGTTGTTTCAAAATACTTCTGTTTGGCAAGCAGTAGATATTCAAAGAGGATAAATTGCAGTCTTAGATGAAGTTTCAGTGGGAAACATTGCTTGAGAAGATACAACTTTATCCTTCTTAGGGCGTTTTGATTGTGGTAATTAATGCAGATATGCAGTTAAATGCCGTATATGGGAGCTGTTCATAGCAACTCTGTTTATGCTTATGCCAATCTAGACAGAAAATTAGAGTTTACTGTGATGTTGTTTCTTTTTTCATGTCTGTGCATGTTTGGTGGCCTGTGGAGTGTGGAGATGCTGGAAACGATGAAGTCAATGCTGTTGGTTTTCCAGATTCAAGTGGTTTTGTTATCGAGGAAGGAAGCCATCCACTTTTGCTGATTAGTTTTAGGATGCTCTGTCCTGTCATTGATGATAGGCTCTAACTGTCTGACTAAGTTGTGGTGCTTTCTTATCCAGTCGCATCATAACCATTTCTGAGAACCTAGTGTGTGAATGTGGTGATTGTGAGACTCCCGCAGTTGACTCTGCATATCTATATTCTTTGGGATGGTGACAGCTTTTGGATAGGTAGTAAATGTAAAGGTTGTGATAAATCTGGAGCTGTCCTAAGCGTATTTGCCTTCACTGAGAAAGCAAGTGCTTTTGGACCCATAAGTGTTCATATGATGGTTGTGATAGATCCGGTATTGACGTCTGAGCTCACATATCTTCTCTGATGAAAAAAGTTATCAGGGATAAATGTGTTGAATCCATAGAAAACTAGAATCTTTTGGCTTTGGCTGAGAGCATGAAACTCTGTTGACTATGGGAGTTTCTGTCATCAAGAAATCAAGTAGGGAAGCGCAACTTCATTGTTGACTTAGAGAAAGGTAAAGAGGCCACCTTGCTTCTCTCCGTGTTGAACGAAATCTGACTATGTAAAAGTAGAAGGGTTGAATACTCCCTCCGTGCTCTTGCTCCTGAAATGGTTTACTTGATTCTCCATGTTGTATTATTTTTCTGTGCTTCTTGATTATCATATTATCCGTAGAGAGCTTGTCTGCCCAAGGTTATTGTCTCTTCTATTCAGTCAGCTTATGACCATTCAGCCTCATGAATGTAACCATATAGAAGCGTTTTGCCAGGTATTCAAGGTTAGCATTTTGTCTGCTTAATAGGAAGGGATGCAATATGGCTTCTGTCACATGTTTATCCAAGGTTACAGCCTGGTTAGAGGCTAAACAGATGATGCCATTTCAAGAAAGACATTCTTAAGAGGTTTAACCCGTCATAATTTGTGTGGTTTGTCAATTGGGCTCTCTAGATCTCTTCCTGTAGTATGATGTGATGATCAGAAAGAATTTATGAGCGCCAAGTGTCCAACATGCTGATACCCAAAATATATTCGGATTAAATTGGTGGTGATGTACTCTATGATTAGCCTTTTTATTGTACGATTTGCTGAAGTTAATTAAACAGAAGGATCTGAATATAGGAGATTGTTGAAATATAATGTAAATACTGCATTAGCAGTTGGGTGAGGTGTATCACGTGCTTCACTTAAAGAAGCACGTGAACATCACCTGCATGTCTCGGGATGTAAGGCTCTTTGTCTAGAACCTTCTCCCATGGATTTGTTATAAATAACAGAGCCCTTTCTCGATGTAAAAAAAAAAAACTTCTTGAATTCTTTTTCCTCATATGTGGTGAATTGAAGCCCTTTTTTTTCCACAAGAAGATTTGTCGTTCTTCAAGAAACAAATGAACTAGAGGAAATTCAACATGGTATAGTTGTGATTGCTCCTTTCTTATTATCTCTTTCTGTATAAGAGATCTATGTTGTTTCTGTAATCCTCTTCTTGAGAACTTAAAAGATCAATATAGTTTCTTGAGCCCTTCTCAAGACATTTCTTGATTTTCCTTTGGTTACGTACAAGAATAACGTTTTTTTTCTACATAGTAAGCAGTTGTTCCTATTTTGATTTGTTATTATTCATGTCTGAAGGAGGAGAGACCTCAGTAGGTGACGTCTCTACCACCATTATGGAAGTCAATCTTGTATCATTAAGATTGATGATTGAACTCCTTGCCATGCCTACAAAATTTAAGTTGCCTGGATTTAACCTCATCCAGTGGTCAGAATATATTAATGAAGTTCTTACTAGCAAAGGGATGCTACATCATCTAGAGGAAACTACACCATATCCAATGTCAAGGCAATTTAGAAAATGGCGGAAGGGTGATGTTTTGATAAAGACATGGATTTAGGGAACAATGATTCCCCATATTAGTAGAGATTTTTTCTTTATGAAAACTACAAAAGATTTGTGGGGAACAGTACACATGAAATAATTGATGAAAAATAATAAGTCACACATAGCTGAAATGGAGATAAAATCTCAATCACTTACTCAAGGTTTGAAATCAGTGATGGAGTACATAGGAGAACTTAAAACTCTATGGCGGGAGCTGGATTATTATCTTTGATCTTGGGACTCAAGAACTCAAAGAAATTTCTGCATTACGAAATTTCATAGAACAAAGGCAGGTTTTTAAATTTTTGGCTGGTTTAAGTCCTGTTTTTGATCATATCAGACAACAAATTCTAAGACGTGAAAGGAGACTAGGTCTGAATGAGGTGATACCAATTATATAGAATGAAGAGAGTCATCAAAAATTGATGTTGTATACTCAAGAGTCGGGTAATACAACATTTGTAGCCAAACCAGGACACCATTAAATCAACAGAATATTTGAATCATCAATCGTCATTTGTGCAAGGAAAAAACCAAAAAAACGATTATAGAGATAATCTCTGGTGCACTTATTGCAGGAAACCTCGTCATACCAAGGAGTCTGAACAAATAGAATTCTGATAATCGAGTGAATCAGGCTCACATGGTGATTGATTGTTCATCCAATCAAAAGTCTGAACAAACAGACCTAAGAAATATTGATTCAACTCCATCAAGTGAAGTAGAGAAACTTCACCTTAGGGGAGGAGTCTATTGATTGAGAAATGTATCAACGTCTCATTGGACGATTGATATATATCACACACACTAGACCTGACATGTCATATGTAGTTAGCCTCTTAAGTCAGTTCATGCATCAGCCAACTGAATCCCATCTTCATGCTGCCTATCAGGTGTTACACTGCTTAAAAGGAACTCTTGGAAAAGGCATTATCTTCAACCATGGTGATAAAAGTAATAGTTGAGATGTATACTGATGCTAACTATACTGGTTCTCTTTTAGATCATTGGTCAACTTCAGATCTTATGATGTTTATGAGAGGAAATTTGATTACTTGGCACAGCAAGAAATAGAATGTGGTTACTCGCTAAGGTGTAGAAGCAGAATTCAAAGCACTCGCGCATGGAATATGTGAACTACTTTGGATGAAGATTTTACTCACTGACCTAAAGATTCTCATTTCAGGTCTACTGTGACAATAAATTTGCAATTAATCTTGTGCATAATCCTATTCAACATGATCGCACAAAGTATCTGGAGATAGACTGTCACTTTATCAAGGAAAACCTAGAATCTAAAGAAATTTGTATTCCCTACATCTCCACTCAACATCAACTAACTGATTTGCTGACAAAAGGTGTCTTTGCGGCTCAACTACAATAAGTGCTCTCCAAGCTGGGAGTAAATGATATCAACCACCAACTTGAGGGGGAGTGCTGAAATATAATGTAACTATTACATTAACAGTGGGGTAAGATGTATCATGTGCTTCACTTAAAGAAACATGTGAGCATCACCTGCATGTCTCGGGATGTAAGGCTCTATGTCTAGAACCTTCTCCCATGGATCTGTTAGAAAGAAATAACAGACCCTGTCTTGATGTAAAAAAAATAATCTTCTTGAATTCTTTTTCCTCATATGTGGTGAATAGATGCCCTTTTTCTTCCACAGGAAGATCTGTTGTTCTTCAAGAAACGAACGAACTAGAGGAAATTCAACAGAGATATCATCACTGATGTGAGATCACTAAAAAATTCTTATGAATGCAAGGAATATTAATGTGTTAACTTTAGGGGCTTAACTAGGCCTATATTCCCTTGACAATGTAAGAAAGGGATTGAGTTCCCATTCGGCAACCAACCACCTGGAAGTTCTGCCTGTAGCTCTGCTCAGGTTTGCCAGAACAGGACCACATGGCCTTGCTCAGGTTTGCCCATTCAGGCTCAAGGGAATCCACTTTCCGACCCTACCCTTGATCATGGGACCCACTCATTAGCACGTTGACATGTTTTTGTTTGGCTGTGAGTTGACTGCTTCCACTCACAATCTAACAGGCGCCCTCTACCGCTACAAGATGGAACCAGTGGACGATCATATTGAACTCCAGTGATGGACTTATCTTGCCATCAGCCCTTCTTATACCCCACCAAATCTGCTTTCAAACAGTCTCTCCTTCCCTACTAACCCATCCTGATTTTACCTTCAAGGTGATAAACCTCTTCCCTCAATGATTCTCTAGCGATCTTCCCTTCAAGTCACTTTCTTTTTCTTCCTTCACAGGGGACCTTTAAAGCTAAAAGCACTGTAACATGCATCTCAATGGCTGCAATTATCAATGCACTGGACTCTCTGCTGACCTAATTGTCTTGGTCTCCTAATTTAAACTATTTTGGATGGAAACAGCTAGACAATGAGGATAGTTCAAGACATCTGGTGAAATGTAAGAAAACATATTTCTATTCTCAGTATGCTGGATTGCTCATGACTTCGGAAGGTAGTGCCATATATATTGGGAAAAAATGGGAAGTTCAGAATCATGTGGACAATGCTTACTTTTATGATGATAGTGTGACATTTATTTTGATTCTATCGGGGTATGCAAGTGATTATGCGAAGGTGGTCAGTATTTTCCATGATCGTTTGTTGGGATAGTCTTTTTTTTATTGACTGTTTTGTGCTCTATAGTCTACTGAGATGGAAAAGCCACGTCTGTATACGAAAATAATCTCACTTCCATCTTTCGTCACTGTAACAATGACATGGAATAACCTGCTTCCTGAATTCAGAGCTGTCTTCAGGAATTGAAGTTCACTGGGGAATCGGCTTGTACTGGGTCAGTTCTAGTCAGGTTAACAAAAATGGACGAAACGGAGAGAATAAGCTATTTCCGGCAATGAACTGTTATGAACAAAACAATTGACCATGTATTGTGCTTTCTCTTTCTCTTTCCCTCCTGCCTTTGCTCCTGTTCGTTCCTCTACTCACTCCCTCTTTTACCATTCCACCCTCGGTGGTTCACCACAAGAAAACTCTCCAATCCCTAGAAAATCCATGTTTGACTCTTACTATATTGACTTGGCTGCCAAGGTACTCTGATATGAAACCATTATCTTTATTCATCCAGCGACACATTCATGCAGGATGCCCTCTCTACATATTTTGACCCTTGAGCTCCGTCATCTTTACTGGATCAGCTCTATCCAATGCAGCAAGCTTGTAACCCATGATGGATACTCTACTCCCTTTAGATCACATAATCTAAATTCACTACGACTACGGTTTGAGGCCTCATCATTTTTTCTGTCTGATAAACGCAGGTGAATAAAAAAAACAATGTACCACGGAAGAATCTTTGTTGATTTTCCCAGATAACAAGCTCCTGGTCAGTTTAATCTCCGTAAGGAGTTTGGATTCTCTGGAAGTTTTCAAATGACTCAAACTTTTTACATTATTTCCCATGACTTTTATCCACATAATTTAATTGATCTTGCTGATAAATAATTGATCTTTTACATTTCCACACAATCACATGGGATTCTTAAAAGGGTAAAACCATCCACACACTTCCGTGCTAACCTTTCCGCTGCTCAAAAACCCTGTTCTTGTAGGGTTTGGACGTGCACTCTTTTCAGACTTTTCAAGAAGTGCAGCACCCCGCTGATAATACTGGCGACGGTGAGAAGCTCTACTTTTAGCCTTCTCTTCACTGAATCATCCATTCTAGTTGCTTTAATCTTCTAAGCTGTGGTCAGTTCCCAACCGGGCTCGCACTGGCCATCGAGAAGAAGACCCGGAGGATGGAGATATCTTTGTACTGCTTTGCCCGGGCCATCGAGAGCTTCTTCACGTGCCTGGCCGACGCCGGCTACACCGTGCATGCGGGCAGATTGAAGCGGGCGGATGTGGTGGTCTTCAGCTTCGCGACCGCCATCATCATGCACTGCTACGACCAGGAGAGGGAGGTCTTCAGGTCCAAGTACTTGAATGTCCTGGACTGGGTCTTTGGTGTGCCACCTTCACTGGAGAAGGACAGCAAGGGCCAGTCCTGAGGGGGGCTTCAGCGTTGACTTATGCCATCCGTTCACCGTCCACCGTCCACCGCCAAGTGAAGGTCAAAGGCCAATCAGTGGCGGCAGTGGGCTGCTGTAGTGGGAGAAGCAGGAACCTTTCTATCCATATTCTTTTGTCTCTGAAACTCCGCATATAACTGGGCAGCTGATGCCCAATTTAATTTTTTTTGTTTCCATAATTAGCATACGGGCGATGATGCCAAGCCCTTTTTTGTGTCAAAATCTTTTGGATCGAGCAGCCAAAGATCATGTTGTCTGTTCCTAGCGATGATTGAAGGTTCGTTGTGGGCCCTCATTTTGTTGTTCTGCCAACATGGGGATATTATAATGCTTCTACCATCCTTCATTCTCTTCAACCGTTGACCTCACCTCGCTATACCGCAGTCAGCTTACAGAGACTGAGGCTGTTGTTATTTCCTAAGTCAAACTAATCTCTCTCTCGCTACTGGAATCAACCCTTTTTTTATTTTTTTTTATGATCTTTTTTCTAGCCTGGTTCATCACCTTTCTGAATTAAATTGATTGATTTTGCATTTTTTTTCTTCGGTGGCAAAATTACCGGGCTCCAGATATAAGAATATACCTGGATAAACTTATATATATATATAGAAACAGACCCCTATATGCAATGTTAGTGGTCATTGATGAAGGAGATATCAGCATGTCGAGATTGAGTGAGTAATACTCGACTGGGTACAACTTTGACTTAACCCCTCAGCAGTTTGTTTATTAGTTGACAAAAAGATTACTGGTTGACTTATTTGATCTTAGACAAGTGAATGCGGGAGAGCGAGCTGCATTCGAGTCTCTAGATCTCAACTGATGTCTGAAGATCCCGGAGAAGAGGAGATGACGACGGGTAGTGAGGAACATCTCGTTGCTGCAGCCTCGGACTAGAATGATCTTCCAGCAGTTCATCAATAGTAGCCAATCATGTATTTCGTCTGCATATTCCAATACTCTTTGGACTGCTTCACCAGCTCGGCTCGTTCTGCGTTCTTCCTTTCCTTCCAGTAGTCTGGGCATCTGGGGACGACAGAAAAAGATGCAGGTTTCAGGGAGGTTCAGAGAGCTGAAGGCCCTCAAAGTCAACGCCACAGATTTGAGGTATACCTTTTCTTCAATAACAGGTCAACCTCGACCATGTGGATTGCATTAGCATACACTCCCACCTGCATGAAGAAGCGGGCTGATTAATCCTCGCTGCAGGATGCTGCCTCCATTACTGCAGAGCGGATACTATAAATGGCAAATTACATGGAACTGATCCGTAGGGAGAAAGCTCCCTCTTACATCCATTCTCCCCTGGTTCCTGCCCACTTTCTATTTATACCAAAGAAGCCACGTTTTGGAGCATGGACAGATTTGACAGAATGTATAGTAACCCTAGTGGAGTCCGGCTTGGGTCATGATTGACTTAGACGTAGCAGGGGAAGTGTATAAGTCAAATAGGGAAATCCTGCTTGAAGTACGTGTCAGATGGAGGCAGCTTGAGGCTTAAGAATGGGATGAGCTGACTTTTCTTAGATTTTTTTTGTTGTTAGGGGGGTTATGGGGAGCCGTAAAGGGAATTAATGGAGATTTTCTCAAGGCCCACAATAAGTTTAGAATGAATCTAGGAAAGAATGTGTTTTTTTGGGGGGGGGGGGAATAACTCTAGAGGGGTTCGTAGAGAACAAAGTTTCTCTTAGGCTTTAATTTTTTGATGAAATATGAGGGTTGGGGGTGGAAATTATGATTCGAAAGGGACCTCAAATGAAATTTGGATTTTGATTTCTCAAGCCTCAACGTGTCATAGGCAAAAGTATGCCATCGGAATGAGACAGAAACTTATGAATTATGGAAGAATTTGGCGCAGAAATGCAAAAGGGACTTGAAAAGTTTGAAAAAGGTAAGACCTTGTCTATGATTTAACCAAGAAACCAAGTGAAGATACCATCAGTGAATGCATGCCTATAAATGATTCCATTTTTAGTACAAGACGGTGAAATTTTTTGTTTTCTTTCATATTTCGTACTTCAACTCCTAGAAATTGTTACCCTCAAATAAATGAAAAATGATGGCCTGAAGTTGATGAGCATATTACGATGTCACAAAGTGTGATGAGATTTAAATACTATTGGACCCAACAAGGTAATGCACACACTGTAGCTAATGATATCTGGGGTAAGACCAAGGCTTTTGATAGTCCTAGAACCTTTCAATTGAGCCGAACGTCGCTGCAGATGGCAGTCACTTTTCAGGGAACTAGTCACATGTGGGTGGCTCACTCTGCTTTCGGACAATGTGAGGCATCATCACTGACCCCGCAGCTGCTGCAGCTTCATTTGAATAAACTAGGATATGGAAAAGGAGAGAGCTTTTTAGGCAATGTAGTCCTGATTCTACTCCCTGGGCCATCTGAAGAGAAGGTTGAAGTCAGACTTTTAGGCACCAAAGATTCTCGGTAGAAAGAATGGTCATTCCTACTATTCGGGGAGGGAGAACTTTGTTCCTCAATTTTGAAAGGGTTGACTTCATGGTATGATCTACAGTCTACACCATCTTTAGAGTACACTGTAGAAATGTTATATTTGGTTTTCCCTGATGCTCGATCAATTCATACTAACATATTTCACATGATGCATACACTATGCTCGATCAAAAAAAAGCAAAGTGGAAACCCATATCGATAAAAATGAAGAAGAAAAACACAGCAAACTTCAAAATCCAGAAAAAGTCATCCCTAGAAGAGGATTCTCAAAGGCAAAGTATCCAAAATGGAATTTGACCCTGTCGTAAAAGTTGGAATAATAGGAAGAAGGAAACTATCTTGGGAAAAGATTCTTTGAATCTTATTTGTTAGAATGAAATAGAAAGGATATTGCCATTTAAGTAAACAAGAAATTGAGACCATTAAGCGGTTTAAAACTCTGTTAAATGTATAATCTATCGGTCATATGATCGACAATCAAGATTCAATACACAGCTGTAACACCAACCTGTGAGTTCCAAATTATAGCAAACAAATTCAAATTATCATCTAAAACCAAGAAAAATAGACATCTTCGATTGACCACGTTTAAATATATGTGATTGATGTTATTCCTGTCCCGTGGGAAGATCTTGAAATTTCTCCGATTTTTATTGTAAGAAGAAAAAAAAATAATAACAACCCACCAAAGGTTTTCTCAATTTGATAGCCAACCATCCTTTAAATCTAATTAATCATACACTTCGAAGCAAAGATATAAAAAGGAATAGATAAGTACTGAATGGCCAAAATTTTCAAGTTCTTCTAGTCTATCATCTGTTTAAAGTTTATGGTTCAAGCTAAAGAAATTTTGGCACAATAAAACTCTGGTTAATCTTTACAACGCTATGAACGCACTTACCATTTATTTTTAATTTTACTATTGACTAAATATTCACTCATGGTGCAAAGGATTGGTTAGCTAGCACCTTAGGTAACCTAACAGTAACATAGTAGGTAGTTGAGGTGAGCTCTGTAGTAACGTTGAGGTTGACAACCCTTATATGTATCTTGTGTCATCATATGATTGCCTCTTTGTATTGATGGATTTTTCATTTTGGACATGATTCACCGACGAATTAACACATTCTGAAGGCTGACAGATGATACATTAATTGCTTGCTTCGGTGGAAGACTCGCTCCTACCAACTAAACAGATATTAGGGAAGCTAATTTAATGGTGCCCAGATTAAAATAAAAGAGAGATTTCTGACTAAGAACGGCCAGGAGTTGTAGCACTCATATATGTTGAATCAACGAACATACTGTGTGGAGATATCATTTGAAATACTCATATGCTCAGTTCTGGTCAATTGTTGAATCGAATACACGTTTCAATATCTAGAGTTTTCTAACCAAGTCTGCCGTTGCAGTGCTTATGCAGTACAAACAAGATGGGGACACGACAAAAGTTAATGTAGAAAGGATCCGGAAGTGCAAGTTCAGACTCGCTCAAAGGGCTTAGAAATAAATATGGACTAGTAAATACGATGAAAGCAGATTCAATAGTTTCAATTTGATCAAATTTCATTTGTTACACAAGGTTTCTTTTTGAGAAGTGAAACATAGAACATTTTATCAAACAATATATTCAAATAAAAGGAGGTACTGACCAAATTGACAATAATATTCCATTAATCTTTATGTACAATGACGATGAATGCATTTAGAGTCTATAATTGGAAGCAAAAAAAATTCACATGTTCTTAAAAAAGTACTTCCAAAAGATTCTTCCACATGATGAAAAAGATTGAATATTGGCAGACATGCTAAACAGACAACATGAAGAAACCGTTTTACATATTTAAATGCCTCAATGGTTGATTGTAGTTATGCTAACCTTTGATTCACTTTCCCAGAGGAACATAATTAGAAAGCCATTAAAGAAGAATACATGAATGCAGAGAGCAAGTACTTACAGCTCTACATACAGGGCATTTAGCTTCTGGAGATGCTGCTTTCAGGTCTTCAAAAAAGAACAAAGAGGCTGCAGAGCAGGCACACCCTTTACAGAAAAGATGCCCACAGCCCAAGGCAAAAGGATGGAAAACTATTTCCTAAGAATCGAAAATAAAAAACAAAACAGTAGTTAGTCACCAACATTGCTGGGAGACTTTAGCAAAACTGTAATAAAAGAAACTAAGAGAAGCTCTAAACACAGTTAAAAGAAAACATATCTTTCGAAGTAAATGGAAATAGAAGTTCGTCTTCTATGAAACCAAATCTTTTTTGTGTCATCACCACATTTCTGGATATAAATGTACTTACTAAGCAAATGGCGCATGTGAGACTATAGTTGAGCTCAACAGAATCAGAAAGGATCAACTTTATAATAGGCTCAGTATCACTAAGATCACAAGAGAGCTCTTGGAAAAACATTCCAGATCCATCAATGCTAGATCCATTAAAATTCATACACAATGCCCCTAGCTCTATCAACCAAGGTGATTGCAAAGGTTCTATTTGCTGAGCTCGCATTTTCATCTTAAACTTTCGACCATTAACAGAGCAATGTACCTGCAAGGACCAGATATAGAACATATGTTAGTGATACTTGGAAACAGAATTTTCCTGAGAGAGGGTCAGAAAAGTTCATTAGGTACTTTATCATATTTTTTGAGTATCTTTCGCACAGCAATAGCATTTATCGTCACGTAATCAATTAGCATCTTCCCTTCTTGAAACATGGTCAGCTGCTTATCTGCAAAACATTGCCGTAGGCACCACAAATATCTCCGTAGAGAGGGAGAATCATGACGATGGACAAGATGCCGAGCCCTTGAAGTAAAATAACCAGATATTTCTGATGCCTCTTTTGCCAGTTCATCAAAAAACTTCTGATCACACACTAAAAGATAAAATATTTATTTAGTACAAACGCCCATAATCTATGGGAAAAAAACATGGTAACTCATGAACAAGGCGAAAGTAATAGGTTAAAGTGCGTTCATTCAAATCAAATAATAAAAATTTCCACACCTAATAGTTGATAATAGTAATTCTGAAAAAAAATCATATATCAAATATCAAGACTGATTTTTTATTGATATATTTTACCACAATGCTTCAGTTTAATCGAGAAATGAATCCTAAACAACTGAGAATTATGCCGACCAAGAATTAAAATATTATCAAGTGGAAATATTACTCTCACAAGCCTTTTATCATCGTAAAAGATTAAATCTGATGTCAAATCATCATCACGTTGAAAGGGTATTCCATACACTTCTCGTTTTTCCCATTTACATTAAACGAAAGGTATCATTAAGCAGAAATATTATTTTCGTATATTTCTTCATATTTTATCTCCTTACATAAAGAATGGCATGTTCTTGGACCAGAAATAAGTGAGAGGATATTGGAAATAAGTTTGAAGAAAAATTTTAGAAATAATTTTATTTCAATGATAGAAGAAATTGAAAATGGAACAATTCCACTATAGTACATGGAACTGCAAGCTATAACATGAAGAAACTACATCTGAGGCTCTATATTAATTTTACATTCACCTAGCAAGGAAACAATGAACTAAAATGATTTTCATGCAAATATAAATGTGAAAATCAGAAAGGATTACGGATCTAATTAACTGAATTCATGAGATTTATCTCCCATTCTGGATGGAAGTTCTAACCATCAATAGAAAGATACCAAAGAAAGCATGCAATAATTTTTGACAGGAAACATTGAACATCAAAAACATTATTTAAGGACAGGGACATCACAAAAAGCATACATTGACAAGAGTCATATTCGTATGCTTCTGAGGGAGAGGTACTTTCGTCTCCTTTGTCACTGCATGCTCGACAAATGCGGCAGCTTTTTAGCACTTTCTTCAGCCGTTTGTACTCCACATGTGAACATTTGTTCAATTGCTCCTGTTCTCTTTGCAAATACTCTTTGAATACTTCTCCAAACTTCATCTGGTGTTGGCGAAGAAAATCCCTTCTCCAATTCCCAAGACAATCTCAAGCCAGAATCGCTGGCTATCTGCACAGTTCACACACTGATATCATATACCGAACAAATGTAATCTAGGCGAAAAAAACTATTCTTGATCTTGATTCCAGATATGGAAATTTGAGTTCACAATCAGAGGACATTATGCTGAGGATATAGAAAATTCATAAACCTAAGCATTAAAAATCAAATGAATTAATCAATGCCTGAATCTCAGACAGAGTTGGAGATTAGAGGCCACCTGACGTTCTTAAGGATCGACAGATACAAAAAGACTATCATCACTAGAGTTTAGGATTCAAGCGTCTGACAATTTGAAGGGACCCATGGTTCCATCTAAGTTAATGTAAAAATGAAACCAGCGGTGTTGGCGTTCAGGCTTTAGGCAAGGGACTGATAATTTGAAGGGAAATATGGTTCCATCTAAGGCAAGTTACTTTAAAAAAAAAAAACTCGCACTCAGCCTCAAAGCAAGGGTAGGATAGCTTGAAGGGATCTAGGGTTCCATCTAAGGCCAGTTAATATTGTACATTTTCTAAAATTTTAAAAAGGAAGAGAAAAAGTGTGACAAAATTCTTTAAATGTGGAACAAGATCAATCTGCAGGACTAATCTACTCATTTTCTGGGATTAAAACATCGCTCGGAGGAAAATAAGCAAGAAAGCGTTTGACGTTTCAAAATTTTACAAGCCTGCAAAAGAATAATAGTTGCATATGCATTCGATCCATAAGAAAGGGGACTTTTTATTTTTGGAGTCCAAAGATAGCCTTCCAGTTTCACAATTTCTCACCGCCACTAAAAAAAGAGTACTGCCCTAGGGCTTCTTAATTTAATTAAACATGGAAAATGAAATTACAAATGAAGCACGGATGAATAACACCTCCCAAGTTTCCCGTTCCAATCCACATGCATAAGCACAAGATAAATGGAACGGATACAAATTTCTTTGGAGATAATCTGACGCATTTGTGCGGAAGTTATACACTCCTTCATAATATCATACGTACATTCCCACAGGCAGCACACACCTAACCACTCAAAACTGAGCCTCACAACCTAAGCGCATACCTCACAACCTCGCAATCTTTCGCCCAGAACAGCGCGCCATCTCCAGGCCCGCCACGACCCCGTCACGACATGATCAAGACATCTATCCTCAGAAGAAACAGAAAAATACGGAAACACCGCTCGACAAAAAGATAAAAAAAAATCACCCCATTCGAAACCCGGAGAAAAACAGAGAGAGATATGCACCTCAAGCTGGAAGAGAGGTTTCGCGGGCGGATCAAGGGAAGGTAGCCAGCCTAGCTAGGTGGCCGGTGGCAGCCTCTGCGCTATCACAGGATCTTCCACTTTGTCAAGGCTGAAAGAGAGAAAGAGAGAGAAAAGAGAGTGGGAGAGAGGGAGGGAGAGAGGGGAGGAAGGGAGAGAGAGAGAGAGAGAGAGAGAGAGAGAGAGAGAGAGAGAGAGAGAGAGAGAGAGAGAGAGAGAGGAAGGAGAGAGAGGAAGAGAGATAGAGAGAGAGGGAGGAAGGAGAGAGAGAGAGAGAGAGAGAGAGAGAGAGAGAGAGCGAGGAAGGAGAGAGAGGAAGGAGAGAGAGGAAGAGAGAGAGGAAGAGAGATGGAGAGAGAGAGAGAGGGAGGGAGAGATGGAGAGAGAGGGAGGAAGGGAGAGAGAGAGAGAGAGAGAGAGAGAGAGAGACGAAGGGAGAGAGACGGAGGGAGGGGGAGAGAGAGAGAGAGAGGAAAGGCGGAAGGTGGCAACAAGGAGCAGCGCGAGATACCAGCGGTGCGTGCCGCGGAACGCGTGTAGTTGGCGGCCGTTAAGTTGAACCGCGCGGGAAAGAAGGGAAGTGCAGCAAATATGACGAAGGCGAAGCCCAGATTTCACGACAGGCCCAATATAACGGAGGATGATGACCTGGCAGAAGACTTTTTCTTTGACTTTGACCGCCAGCTCAGCACCCTAAGTAGGCGGGTTTTGCTGCAGATCCCTTCTGAATTAGGGAAAGTGAGGGCCTCGCTGTCATGCCGGGGCCAATAATCAACGGATAAACTTTTTAATGATCCCCTTAAGTCCAACAATTACAATAATACACCTATATTTACAAACACATTAGAAACCTTCTCTGGAGCACTATTCCTCGCACTCATTCATTTCCTTTAGCTCCCTCCTCTCCCTCCTTTCCCTCTCTGTCCTCTCTCTCTCTCTCTCTCTCTCGCTCGCTGTGATAGTATACAGTAAAGGGAGTAGAAGCTGGAGTTTCTACTTCTCTAATTAACAATCCCCTGAGCCAACCATCTCTCTTAGTCTTAAAGCGAGAGCGAGAGAGGTAGAAAGATAGAGAAAGAGAGAGAGAGAGAGAGAGAGAGAGAGAGAGAGAGAGAGAGAGAGAGAGAGAGAGAGAGAGAGGGAGGAGACCAAGATGGATGGATAGAGAGAGAGAACGGCTATGAAAACCAGCCTAGACAGCTACTGGGTCGAGCCACTATCTGGTCATAGTTTGAATGGTGCACTTCGATCAGGTATAAAGAGCTCGCAGGTCAAATGGCGCAAAGTCTGCTTGGGACTTCGTGCAGTGAATGCCATTGAGATGAGGAAGAACCGGGAGTCAACTGAAGCCATGCATGGAAGGCATGCATGCACGCAACATCTCATTCATAGCTATCACGTACGCGTATACATACATATGTGTATATATATATATATATATATCTTCCTGTATGATCCTCCTTCATCGCCTTCCTTTCCTGAATGCGTATCAGATAAAAATGGCATCCTTAGGAAAACCAGTATAGAACCCCAGACGACCAAAACGCACGTTTCTGCTGAAGACCGAGTTCCATGCCCGACTCCGACGCCTATAAACTCCCCCTCGCTTATTTTAGCCTCTTCATCGCCTTCCCGTGATCACCCGTGTTCGCGTTCACGAGAGAGAGAGAGAGAGAGAGAGAGAGAGAGAGAGGCCCATGTCGCTCAAGGAATTCATGGAGGCGTCAATGGCTTGTGGGGACGACTCCGACGAGGAGGTGCCCCCCTATCTGCTCGCCGCCAACGAGGACCCACCGGCGGTGGCGCCGCCGGCAGATTTCTGGCGGCCCACCGCTCCTCCGCCGCTCCACGAGGAGGAGAAGATCAAGGAGATTCTGAGGAACTGGGCGAAGACAGTCGCCGCCGCCATTGCCAGAGATTTCGGCTGTGCTTCACCCGGCTAACACAACCCCACGCATAGAAGAAATCTTACGTATAATAATAACTTTTCTCATCTGTTTATATTATTTATGTGGGAGGAAATATTTCTAGAACAGATAAAGCTACCATGATCCTCAGCTACGATTCCATTGTTTTCGCCGATCGATGCCGTTCTTTCACATATTCAACATACTTGAGCTTGAACGATAGTAGACACATTGATAATCTTTCTCTAATAATCAATTTCATGCTTCTTATCATCACAAGATCACAAATTTTCTATAAATTGATATAAAGATTACGAAGTGACGGTGTCGTATCGTCTGTTCTTCGCATGATATCAGACTGAAGGAAGCATGGACAAGATACACCTTCCTAAATTAGATATGGTGTCCATGAGCTAGCTGCCAATAATACCTTCCCTCCACTTCTTTTGGCGCAGTGTACGTTCCAAAAATTTCTATATTTAGATGATCCTTAAGAATCTTGCAGGCATGGGGCTCCTCGTATATGGGATGGAGATCCATGAACCATATTTTTTTAAGTTATTTAAGACATCCAGGTCTTGATTTCTTCGGATGCTTCATTGGGTTTAAGGAATCTATATACAAAACGCCAACCCACCCTTGATCTATAAATTTTTAGGATTATTGAGCAAAATCAAAGTGAAATAATTAGAAATTTGTCTGTTTATTTCTCCTAACAAAGTCAACCCGGTTGTTTAACGATTAGATCGTAGACCTTCACGAGTTAGGCCACTAATCTATTTAACTCGAGCTCGGCCTAATCAGTTGGCTATTTCTTGGGCTTGGGCTTAGTGGATCTATCTTCTATCATCAAGCGCACAAGGGAAGAAGCTTGGGAGGACTAATGAAGGTTAGATGCTAGTGACATAATATTTATAGTAAGTCTACTGAACCATTTCTATGTTGACTTTCCTATTCTAGGAGTATTACTTCCTGATAGCACCGAATTCCCTAAACGGGTTTGGTTAGTGCTGTTTTGAACTCTTACACTACCTGTAAAAAGGTGGTTATTGACATGTTGATTTGTATTTCTCGGGGAGTATCTCATTTTCCTAGGGAACCAGTGTTTTCGTTTGACTAGTTCAAGGTTGAGTTCTTCAAAGAAGATTTTTACAAATAAAATGTGGGCAGCGCCAATCCTAGAACCAGAGAAAGAGAGAGTGCCCAATTCAGAGAGAGAGAGAGAGAGAGAAGAGAGAGCGACAGAGAGAGAGAGAGAAGAGAGAGAAAGCGAGAGAGAGAGAGCGAGAGAGAGGGAGAGCGAAAGAGAGAGAGAGAGAGAGGGAGAGCGAGAGAGAGAGAGAGGGAGAGCGAGAGAGAGAGAGTGGGAGAGCGAGAGAGAGAGAGAGAGAGAGCCCAATTCTTCGATCTCTTGCAATGATAATCATGCATGGCCCTGTGAGCGGGTGAGTCGTTCGCAGAAATGCCATGCGTCCCCAGCCTCCTACGAAACTTTTGAACCTTATTCAGTGCGGCCAAGTACTCTCTCAGGCAGCGCCTTCACCAAGCATTGACCACTTTTCTGCAGCAATTCCCAACCTCACCTCTCCGTCGTGACAGCAAGGAGACCCACTTCCAAGGAGATGTATAGAACGTATATTTTTGGGCATACTTTCGGGAAAATATTAATCCAAGGAGATGTTTGAGGGGATTATCTCTCCCTAAGATACAAGAGCAGCCGTCTCAAATCATACATACAAATTACACAGTTTGATGTTCAGAAAACACGGGGGTTTGGGCAGTCAGTTTCTGTGAAATTAAAACTTAAAAAAAAATCTACACGCCTCAACCAGATTTAGGAAGAAGAGAAAAAAATCAACCAATAGCTCTCAAACAGGGTAAGCAATTACCAAGGAAGGAAAGAAAGTTCTCCAGCAGCTCTTGAAGAACTTGAAAACTGAGGGAATGATTTGGTGTTCTGGGTACTTCCGGCGTTTGATTTCCTTGAAAGATTGCTTTTTTTAGCTAGATGCAGTGGTGATGAGCTTCCTCATGCCTTGAATCGAACGACAACACAGGATATATCGTCCTTACTATCCCTCTTCAATGCTTCGGTGGTTAACTCCTTAGCAGCTGCTTGCGGGTCGCTGATCTTTCTAGCGATGCCCACTGCCTCTTCATTGCTCACGACCTGTGGGAACAACAGCAAGCCAAATACCCAGTTACGCATGCCAAACATTCATAAACTTGAGTGAGAGAGATGAAGAGAGAGAGAGAGAGAGAGAGAGAGAGAGAGGATTCGATGGACAACCTTCCAGAGACCATCGCTTGCAAGGATTAAAAGCTCAGCGTCAGAGTTTATGTCTTCAAAACGAATGTCTGGGTCGGAGCGCAAGTGTGACTTTAGAGACTTGTCTCCGAAAGCACGGGAGACAGCTAACTGGCCATTGACCCTTGGGACATCTCCTGAAGTAGAGTCCGCCATAAGCGTCAGTTTAAACGTTCCGGAAAAGTGACAAGATTTAGACAGGATATATTTGGGAATCTCTCTACTTTTGTGAGCAAGATGGAATGGGAAAGAAACTAGAAGAGCTGAGACAATATGCATTGATATGGAAACAGTATAATCTAGTAGAAAACGCTTTGCATACTTCTCTCAAGGCCCCTTTCTTCCTCTTAGAGTTTTTTCTAAGTTTATAAATAATCTGATCATCCCCAAGAACATTGACAGGAACACCATGTGACTTCCTCTAGTAGGAGGCCCCCAACAGTGCCGTGTCTTCTGCTTGACCTTCTATGAGTGGCGATTTGACATTAACTGCGGAGATGAAGGGATATGGCGAGTAAGGATAACAAAGGCAGAACTTAGCTCATGCATGGGTAGCCCTTCTGGCTTCTGATATTCGGCATGGAAGATGGTAGCACGAAAAGATCTATGTGAAGTTCATCTAGCCTCATCACCATCGAGATTCCTCCTGAGGGTGTTGGACGTGGTACTTGGACTTCCGTTCGATTTATCTTTATGAAAAAATTAAGATGATAATTTACGGCCAAAAGCACACAGATTTCATTTATAGTATGAACAGTATTGTTTCTTCCTGCCTAAAGCATTTTGTTCTTGCTTTTTAATTGAAGTGTGGGTGAGGGATAATAGAGTAAAGAGATATGAAAAACAGCTAAGAAGAGTTGAGACCTTGCTTTTATAACAGCAAAAGGGAGTTTTTTGGTTCATTATGATAGAGACAGCAAGGTTCACAGATTATGTTGTTTTGTGCCTTGAAGCAAGAGAATATGCCAGGAAGCGGGTCTAGTAGCAGAAGCAAGCCAAGTCTGTGACTCTCTGCCACTGAGGAGTGAAAGAAGGCAAAGAGAGGAGGAGGGAAGGCTGGGGAAGAGAAAAAGAAGAAGATGATGGCAGGAAAGGAGGTCAAGTACCCAAGGGCACCCTCATCACTGGGCCCACACTCAACAGCAATGGGCTTCTGGGAACAATTCACTGTTGGACATCTAATGATGATGAGCATCTCAGGAGTTTCGTCTCTGGTGGACTACAAGAGAAGTAGAGAGAGAAATAAACAGCAATGAAGGTGACAACAAAGTCCATTGGCCACCTGACCCCAGCTTCTAATGGCGGGCTCCTGTCAGATCCTTCATTGGGAAAATAAAAAGTGCAGGACAAGGGAGAAGGGGAATGGGAAATATGAGAAGAAGAAATAACACCATTGGCAAGCGTGAAGCTTGGGGTTATTTCTTGGAGAACTTATTAAAGAAGAGAGTGAGAGAAAGGAAGAAGAAAAGAACCGGAGACCAACCCACCCACTGTTGGGACAACCAACCATAGGCTAAGTCCAGCATTCTCCATTCCAAAAATCAGTTCTGCCAGCAGGCATCCTCCAACTATAAGGCGAACTAGACAGTAACATACTAGAAAATAGCCTTCAAGCCTGGAGGTGGCACTAGCCATGCTCCATTCATATGTTTAGGATGTCTGCTTTATGTTTATGCAGAGGATACGTTTTTCTTCTCTCAAGTACTGTCTGGATTGTTGAGTTAAATGGACGAAAGCACTCCTACTGAAACCCAATCTCCTGTTTTGAACCCTTTGGTGCCAGACATGGCACCCTTTGACAAGCCATGCTGGTGCGAGAAAGTTTCTTCTCCCCCAAAGCACACCGACACAAGGAATTCTAGCGCATCTTTCAACTCTCCGTTCTACACTGAAATGACCCAGTAGGCTGACTTTCTACACTGCCTTGGTAGACCTGGTAACATTGTGTCCACCACACGAGCACAAATAATGTGTGGCGTGCACATTAAGCAAAGGGATCTATCCGCAAAGGTTAACAAAATTTCTCGTTATATTATCTTCATAAAAAATAAAAACCAATTTTGATGAAGGGTTCAGCAATTTTCTCTCAATAGGCATCTCAACTGCATAGCGGCAGTGAAACAGTAACAAGAATAAAAGGAAGAAAGCTTTCAATGTAAAGATCTTAGAAGCGAATTTCAGAGAAAAAAGTAAAAAAGAAAGAAAATCAAAGGAAATGACGCGGTAAGAAAAAAAAAAAAACCTGGCAAATTCGAAACAAATCCTCCTCTATCCTCTATGGTCCTACGTTCAGCACCAGGTTCATGATCAACGGTCATCTGCAACACTCTTCCTCCCTTTGAAAGAACTCCTCGAGAATCACCAACATTGGCTACATATAACTTCCTGCCATTGACGAGAATAGCGGTGACAGCAGTAGAACCGCCTTGACCCAAGCCATGACTGTGAGACAGGATTGTCTTATCAGTCTTTTCATAAGCCTTTGAAATGGCCTTATCAGGGTTGGCCCAAAACTCCCCCTGCAACAACAGAAAGCTTTTAGATAAACAATTCGGCGGTCTGAGTCTGCATAAAAATAGCAACCTCAGCAATCTGATTTGGTGTCGAAAATGAACAGCTAACCTCTTTCAGAATATTGGAGAAAAGATGCTTTTGCAGATATATTGGAACACTATTTCCCAGATGACCATCAAAAATAGCAAATAATCCAAGTTCTTTGCCCTTGATCTGAACAAACTTGGAGATATGATAGTCTTCCATGGGATGCTTTGCCTTCCCTTTTACCAGGCTGTACCCGTATCTAACTTTGATGTCACTTCGGTGGCTTTTTCCTTTACCAGTAACATCGGAAGACCGATTTTTGGGCTATAAAAGGAAAATGACTTTGTTGTCAAATATTCATAAAAATGAAAACAAACATAGCAGGACAAGCAAATAATTGCTACTGCATCTTCATGGGACGATCTAAATAAAGCTTCAACCGTAGAGCTCTGAAGATAGGATGAAGAGAAACGGAAATGAATAAGTTACAAATAACATCGTTTTTATAATTTTTGCAATACAAATCCAAAGACTAATCATGTAAGCCGCATGAAAAAATTATATACATAAACTACTTTTTTCAGTAGAGAGGGGATCTGGGAAAATAAAAATAGTGTTTTTGGGCAATACTAAGCACAACTCCCTCCAGGGTTAAATAAGGCAGTAGAATTCCAATTGAATGTTCTCTGGGGGATTTAACCGATGAAATTAAGTTGGTACTTTCCCAAAGACTCTCCCACTGCCTGGCGCGCAAACTCTGGTTGAATCGTTCTTGCCATCCTCTCTCCGTTTGTTTTCAAACATAGAACACGTTTCCTTGAAAGGAAACGATGATAGAGACGAACAACACATGAATCAAGTTCATTACCCAATCAAATTCTCACTGGATACGTTCCTCAAAAAACAAATTCCTGCCGATTCTTCCCCAACTAGCGAAGAGATTGCCACATAGAAACTGAGCACAATTTTGCGAAGAAATACCCCACTTGTTTCTCAAGAAGAAAAAGAGATGGGAAACATGCTCAGATTCATTTGATTGATTTTACCGGAAAAGAGTACTTGATTGATTCAAGAAGAAGTGCACTTAATGAAGAAGAAGAAGAAGAAGAAGAAGAAGAAGAAGAAGAAGAAGAAGAAGAAGAAGAAGAAGAAGAAGAAGAAGAAGATACAGAGAAACAAATGACTGCTCCCCCTCACCTGCGAAGCCTTCCAGCAGAATAATCTATCCATGCAAAGCCCTCCTCGATACCACCGGCAAATTCTCCAGCATCAACACTCCTGCCGTACAACCTGCAGATGAGGAAAGCTGTCATCAGAAATCAAACTCACGAGGAGACCTCTCTTGAGAAAGATTTAATGTTCAAGGGTCAACAATCACCTCTGAAAAACTATATTGAGAGATGGCGATGAGTCCAGGACGAAGCCCCCCTCCTCTCTATGTCTCCTCGCTTAAAGGAGGAGGAATTGGACGCACAGCCGATGAGATTCCCAATTTGTTAGAGCAAAATTGAAGTCTTCACCGACCAGTGACGAGCGTTCGCAGAGCCGTTCAACGATATCGCTTTGGGGGGAGAGGGAGAGGAAGAGGGCGGTCATCTCCAATGATGAAAGACGGGGCACAAAGCCATTCCGCCGACCTTCCCGACCGCCCATGGCTCGCGACGGGGACAGACTCTCCTGTGGACTTTACCCCGCCGCAGAGTACGCGCCGTTTGACCGGCCATTCAATGCTACATAAAGAAAGAGCCTTTTATTTGACCGAACCTTTGACGGGTACTACTCGGTAGGGCCAGTTTGACTCTTAGGTTAACCTTGCGCATCCTAGTTTTGTTGACTTTGACTTTTATATCACCCATTTCTCTCTCTCTCTCTCTCTCTCTCATTCGTTAGGCAGGTTGATCTCAAGGCAAGTCCGAACTGGATAAGCATGTATCCTAGTATATCTATAAGCAGGCATCACGAAACACTTGCTTTCAAAACTTGAAGAGTTCGTTTATTTCCAATGGACTACTAAAAAATTTATGGTTTTCATCAATGACCAAACAACTACTAAAATATTATACCTTAATATTCTTTAAAGAAAAGCCTTGATTTAAATATTCATATGTTTTGAGGTTATTTTAGGCTCTCTTGTTATCTACTAAAAATTACAATTTTCATCCATCTTACACTACCAAATACATTATTTTACATCCCAAGTTTAGATTAGTCATATGTAAACCCTCACTACACTCAAGATTTAGTAACCCCTCTTTCTCTCTCTCTCTCTCTCTCTCTCTCTCTCTCTCTCTCTCTCTCTCTCTCTCTCTCTCACTACGTCATCTATCTATCCATCTCTTTGTACTTATCTATTAGGGTGGAGGTGGATGCAAGAGGAATGGCATGGACCATGAGGGTAAAGACATCATGTCTATAAATTAGGCAAAATAGATGACTATCAACAATTCCAAACATACTTCAAGTTGATGACCTCATCAAGTAGCCTTATAATGCAAGTATTATGTGATAAGGATAAGATTGAAGTAGCCCAATGCATTATTGGCCCCATGCTACTAAGCCCATTCAACAATCTTTCTTAGAACCGTATTGGGCGAATGAAGATATGGGTTTGTTGGCTCCTTCTTGAAACCTAGTCTAGACATTGATAACATTTTTAATCATATCATTTGATATTAACATATGCATATAAGTTGACATGATAACTCTCACATAAATTGACATTCAAAGAGCTCATCATCTAGAATAATGTGTAATTTTCAGTTTTAGTTTCATGCATGAGCTGATTTTACTTTTAAATATTTATTTTTTTCATAAAACATGTGTTATTGAGAAATGATCCTAATCAATTCATAGAGAGAAAAAACATAGCATGTTTTAAACAACTACCTCAACAAATTTAGTATTTTTTGATTGTCATAATTATAAAAAAGAGTCATATGGTAGCATTATCATACACATTCAATAAAAATGGAGATTTTTTCATCACAAAAAATACTATGTTGGGGCAATTAAAATTTCAGATATCAACCATATTGATAATCACCAAACCTTAAAATTATATGATGTTTATATATCATATTTACAATTCAATCCTTTGAACCTCCCAAATAGCCAAATTGATGTGATTATGTGGCAGTTATAGTTGTAATCTATGTCAATATCATTGTTCACAATGAAGAAAATAATTGCAAGAGAAAATTTAAAATCTTAATGATGATATCAAGATATATCTAGTGGTTTTGTGATGAGATTCACTTCTCTTCCATTCTGAACATTTTATTCCCTTTCCAAATTTGACCATTGGAGTGTTCATTCTCAAATCTAGGTAAGAAACCCTCTAGGAAAGGCTTATTATAGAATTATCTGTTTTGAAATACCTTTATTATGGTGAGAGATATCATGAGTCATTAAAATTCTTACACTAGTTTCCACACTCAACCAAAAGCTTTTATTGGTATTTCTTTGTAAAAAGAGGATATTATGAGTCATGTTCTTGTCATATTTTATAAGCAATTTAAAATTTTTAATTATTTTATAAAAAAATGAAAGCTTGGTATATGTTGGAGGTATGTGAAGAATGATCAAGCTCGGGTATACAATAAGTATGTGAATCCAACTTGAAGTATTACTGCAATTAGAGGTATTCATGTAATTTATCCCTTATGTAGTTACCCTAATTGCAGGATATAAAGAGGGGCTGCCACCACTTGTAATGTGACATGATTTTCTCTCCAAGAGGGAAGAATAAGGGTTAGTGAGGCTGTGGATGTAGGAGGATTCTCATAACCATGTAAATTTAGTGTGTATTTTCTCTTCACTCTCTCTATCTCTTGTCATTGTCCTTCTCTTCATTGTGCAAGGACGAGGGGTTCCTCTCTGAATAGACATTACAAGGACCATCTATAATCCACAACTCATATTTACTAAATTTATAAAGGCTGCGTTTATGGTAATTGATCACAATATTTCATATTATATTCATATTTATTGTCAAAAGTAGACCTATATCTTTATTATAGTGCATAATGTGTCTTATTTAACTATCATCATGAAGTTCTCATTCCAACACCTATTACTTTTCTCTCTCCCCGCCACTTGAGCCCACAACTCCCCTTCTCTAATCATATCATCTGTTCTTCTTTCTCTCCCTAAGGAGGGAGGCTTCTACAATTATTTTGAAATAGAAAATTTTTAAATGTTAGACCCTAAAGCCTAAATAAATAATTAGTAAAACTTTTCTCCTGTGAGACTATACTTCCTATCTTTCTACCTATCATTAATCTCTCTATATCACTCTCACTCCATCTCACCTTCATTTCAATCTATATCACAGATCCTTAGTTAGAAATGTTTCTACATTTTTATAAATCAAAATTGAAAATTATATAACACTTTGTAACATTTTGTGGGACATTTATTATGTTTACAAAATTTACATTTTCTATCATTTTAATAAGTTTACTAAGTGCACTAATATATTTTAGATTCTAATACTTGTCATCTAAGACTTTTGATGTATCCTAACCAAGTGAATGATATATCAACTTTGCCACTTACACCCTCAAGTAAACAATGAATGTGTCATCTAAAACTTCCTTCAAGTAGATAATTGCTACAATTATCTACTTGAAGTAGGCAGAAACAAAACAGATCATGATAGACAAACTTTCGTATTTTTACCTTCAAGTAGATAATGAATAGCTCACTAGCGTGTGGTATTGTTACAATTGACATGTGTTTCAACATAGGATCAAAAATGGAATTTTGTTTTCATAATGTCAACAATAATATTGAAAATCTAGTGTTGCCACTATACCACACAATCAAGTAATATAAATAAAAAAAGAAAATTATATTCATATATGTAGTTACCTTCATTGATGCTCATGATTTTGATGATTAAAACTAAAAACTTATTATAATATTATTATTTCATGTGTTGGATATATTAAAGATGAAAATGTGTTTTTTTTTAAGACCTAATTTATGTGAATTAAACATTAAATATATTCAATAGACTAATCATATTAAGCTTTTTGTCCAATTACAACAATTTCAATTCTAATAATTAAATTTAAGATTTTCAGCTTTGAGATTAAGTTGGTTTTCAATCTCAAGAATAGTTGAAAATACATTAAAGAAATATTTCAAAGAAAAGGTCAAATACATATCATTAGGGTTGTATGGCATGTGTCATCATTTTTGTGAAAGTATAATATTTCTGCAGGTTATATTCATGATGATCTAACCAATGTGCTACATCACTTATCTATTTTATATTATTTCCACATGATATTAGACTGGTTTATCAAACTCTTACGAGTTTGAAATCAACAATAATGCAGAATAGATCCAATGCTTATTTTTAGAAAGTTTACCTTGATAGTGATATATACTAGACAAGTATACGGATAAGAAGTGAAATAAAATTAAATGATCTTGAGTCAACATAGATACTAAGTTATTATCCATCAAGTGGGGAAGCTTTGGTATCAATTTGAATTAAAATGTTTATAAGAACAAGGAGAATCAAAGATTGGAAGGTTAAAACGCGAAAATTGCATACTTTGAAAAATGGCAAAATTTTAACAAACAACTAAAATATTGGAAATTTGAGAAAAATGAAAAACAAGTACAAAACATAGGCTATATATCAATGAAGAGTTCTAGACTGAAACATCACGAAATACCAAGATATTTAATACTCTTTAACAAGATTTTCATGCTGCACACCCTAGTGATGAATAACTTATAGTAATATTCTGCATCAGCTTGATCTAGTAGTTAAATACCTTGACTAATGTTATTCATATTCTGCATCAGGTCCTAAGGTAATTAAGTTTTGAGGAAAAAGTAGATTTGGTGAAAGTATAAGTGCTTGTAATTGCATTTGGCTTGAGAGGAGCTAGTGTCTCTACAAAGATGTACTTGAATATTTTGGGCTATTGATCCTACTAAATCAATAGGTATTTTTTATGAGAATAATGAGTATTAGAAGATAATTTCATCTACGAGAAGTAACAATATAAAAGTTCTTTATTCTTAGAAAAGAATACAATGAGGTCATACCATTGTAAATAGTCTTTCACACATGTTGTGATACACATCTCCTCTATTGATACATAGACTACTTGTGTCGACATATAGACTTGCCTCTAGATATATCAATTGAGAATTAAAAGACTGCTAAACCTTTTAGAAATCTTAATTCACCTCCCCTCTTGGTGTTTCAACTACCCACACAGTTCTACCTAAACTTTTCTTAGGATTCCATTAATAAGTCACATTTAAGAGTTATGGCATAAGTGGTGAAAGAAAGCAACTCAAATTTTCAGATTGGATAGTATATTGGTTTGCTAATGATGTTGTGTAATTGTATGATTACTCAATATTGATTTCTGAATGAAGCATAAATATATTATAATCAAGTATTTATATCATTATTTTTATTTAAGATCTATCATGTCAATGGCATTTTTATATTTTGTTATCATCATTCATCTATATTGTTATTTGTATTCATGATACGCTATCTTAGTGGCATTAATATCTTATGATATTATTTCATATCCTATCTAGCTTTTAATTATGATATATCATATTGTTTATTTTTATGAAGTACCCCTCATGTCTATGATACAAATTGCATTGTTTACTAGCATATATTAGATTAATCTTTTTATCAATAATCACATATTATATTCACTTATACACCATGATGTGTAATAGTCATCGAGTGTCATTTATGTTCATATATAATGTTATTAATATATTGTAATAATTACAATCATATAGTGTTACCTATATTTGCATTTTTTTTTGCTGATGTATGGCATTGTCTATAGTCATATAATACATTATCCATGCTGACACAATATTAAACATGTGCCAACTTATCGATGTCAATTTATTATGCTCACAAAAATACTAGGTGATTTGCACACATATGCTATTGAGTTATCCATACTCAATCTCACATATATAATATTATTTGCAACCATATATTGTGCTACTTGTGATCTATAGGGAGGTACAATTGACACATAAGTCACTATATCAACTTCATATTTGAGTTATTGTTATAGGTATGTGTTAAGAGGCATTTGTCGCCATTGCAAAAGAACATCACTCATCTAAGTTAGAAAAATATAAAAAGATGACTTTGTCTTATGCTAAACATAGAGAGAAGAGAGTTAAATCATCAAATCTATAAGTTCTAAGTCAGCTCATGAAACTAAAAGCATAAATTCCTGAAGAATAATTACTACTAGACACAATTGAGCACTTATGAACTAATAAAGTTTTATAGTTACCAAAGTCTTTAAGAAAAGGATATAAGGCAACACAATCAATGAAGCTTCAATTGAATTTAGTTAATAGTAGTTAATATAAAATACTACATTTCAAAGTCTCTATTGTGTTAACTTTGTATCATGTAATAAGTGCTAGGACACTATTGGGGCATCATTAGTTGAATTAAAGAACTTTACTCATACCTAAGGTTTAATTATGGTGTGAGTTCTTTGGTGGGCTAGAGACATAATCCTTATGAATAAGTGATAATGTAGTGATAAATTATTTAGTGGGCTACACAAGAAAGCTAGCAGAAGAGTAATTTCCTTGAGGCAATCTGATTATTATTTTCATATGAATTAGAGTGGTTGGTTGTCTTGACAATTATTTGGTTGTTAGACATCTTAATATGTATTACTTCAAGTATTCGAGAAAATTAGCAAATATCAAAGAGTTTGAGGGCTCCTAAAGGATAGTAAATTTATATTGTGCACTACACGCTAATCTATAACTTCTATTTGATTATTTTGTGAATTCTCACTTTTTCTTTCGATTCAACCAATTAGAAAAACCTTAGCTAGATGATTTGAATTATATTAACTATTTAACACACATCTTATGTCATTTTCTGCCTGTATTTGATTTCATATGCTTACTACCCTTATACTGTATGATCTTGCACATTAAAGTTTTTAGTCCACAACAACATTCACATTAATGAATTAACTTAGCTCTTCTTTTGATACCCGTGACAAGGTTTTTTTGCCCCCCCTCCCCCCTTCAAATACATGTCATTTTTTTTTAGTCTTTCAAGAATTGATTATGTACAATTGAGGAAAACCTTCTAGCATCAGGTTGAAACTTTATTTGAGATCCATAAAAAAAATTGATATTTCTTTTCACATAGATTTTTTTATGAGGTTTTCAATTTTTTATCATTATTCTCTTGGGCTAAACTACAAGTTTGATATTGCATAAACCCCAGCTTATCATTTGGGAGCCTAATTGATAGAAACCTTGGGTAAGGTAATAAAGTGGCAAAAAGGGTCTAATGCAAATTTAAAACGTGACAGAAATCAGGGCAGGTCTAAGACTAGTTGAACCACTCAATTGCACTATCTGTCTACTTTGTATTTGAAAATATTTTAGGGTTTCTGATTCTAAGAATATATATATTTTTTATTTTCTTTTTCTTTTATTTTTGTTTTATTTTTCTTTTCTCTAGTGTCCCTTATCCGTTCCAATGGTATTAAGATGACCGCACTTCCTCTCTTTCCCTTTTCGTTTGTGGGTTAAAAAAAAATACAGGGACTTATTTGTTAGTTTACAGGTTTTAGGGAGTAAAAGAGAAACTATAATTTTCTTTGGTGCTAAAATACAAAAGACTATCTAAATCCGATGCCAGGTCGGAACGATCATCCAACTCTTTGGGAGGACTAGCTGAGTTCCTATTATAAAAACAAATACGACGACCTCCCGATGCATGTCCACCGTCCAACTTTAGCCGCGGCCACGTGGTGGCAAGCCAGTTCTTGGCATAGGGATTGGCGATTGTCTTCGACGTCTTCTTCCTCCCTTCTCCCTCCTCCGACTCTCCCTTTCTCTTGGACGAGGATCGAATCTGGGGACCACGCAGCAGCATAATCTCAGTGGCGGACGTCGTTTGTGAGCTGTGGTTGCCAGCCGGCTTCGTCCTCAACCACGCAATTCGATCTGCTTTGCTGTCATGTACATTGTTTTCTCCGTCTCTATCCAGCGTGGCGTGGCCGTGATGGCCTCTCGAGGGGATCCAGGAGGGATTTGAGGCCTTCGCTGTCGCTCATCCCATCCGTTGCTTCTGGTTTTCCTCTCCTCCTCTTCCTGCCTTTCTGAGGAGCGCGACCGAGAACGCCAGCGCAGCCACCAATCGTGTTACTTCCCGATTTGACTTCTCCTCTCCGGCTTCAGCCATGGCGGGAGTTCCGTTCCGTCCACTTCCAAACGCTCCGGTTCCAACACAGCTTTCTGGAGCGCATTCTGTTGATTTCCCGGGTTCTGTCGCGTTCTGTGCCAAGGAACCCGTTGGTGGAGCTGAGGTAACCGTCTGTATAATGCGATATGTGAGCCTGAGCGCGTATGGGAGTTAGACGTTCTTTCCTCTGGAAATTAATTTAGCATGCTTACCCTTTTGGTTTTGTTTTTGTTTTTCGCGATCTTGGCAGATCGGAGGTACTTCGGCTAAATTGAGCATGATTAGGCGGTCCCCTTTCGTGATTTTCGGTTCCGTGAAGTAAGCTCGTGACCAATTCATTTCCTTTGCGTTTTATTTCGCATCATTTGTTCACAGTTCAATGGTGTTTTCGATCACATTTTGGAATAGGAGATGAGGTGTTTTCATGGGCATTGGAATGTTGGCCTGTTCTTCATTTGTATCTAGACTTCCTTTTCACCTCTTACTCTCAGCTTCTCTGTTATTTTAGCTAATTTTTCTTTCTTTCCTTCTTTTTTTCTCCTATCTCCTTTGTCAAGTGAGCCTGTCACAAAATGTAGCTTTGTAGAAATTCACTTGCTGTTTGAGTTAATCTATTTTTCCTACATGTCAGGTTAAACAGAAGGATTCTTCTCGTTGTCTTGTGCTTTTTCTTTGCCTTACGAACTTGCTTTGACTTGAATTGCTATCTTTTTGTAGGAGATCCATGACACGGGTAGAGGGTGCTAGAGATCCTTCAGCACTGATCCAAGAGCTCGCAGAGAATGATATACAGACATTTGACAAACCTAGTCGAGATGATCCGTTTGGGGACCTGAAAAATAGGTTTTCACGTTTCAAAAAGCAAATCTGTTTGTATGTAGACAGTAACCTTATGCTAAATTTAATTGATGGAAATGTTTTTCTTAAATTCATTGACAGTTGCATAATTCCTTATGAGCAGGGACAATCCAGTTCTGTACAACAACCTTGCTCAGGCTCAGACACCTAAGGTATCCTTTTCATCTTCACGATTTGCGATCATTCCAGGGAGATTTGCTCACTCTAGCAAGTGTGAATAAAAAATTTAACGTGTGTGATGGATATTGAAATTTGTTGTGGGCGAAAATCTACTGGCTGTCATTTTGTTCAGTTAAGTTTATCAGATATTAGAAATGAATGAGGTGAAGATTGGTTCTTTAACACATCGTTGAAACTAACCCAGACTCCCCTGTGTGTCACAAATATTTTCCTTTTTTATTATCGTTTTTAAATTTTTTATTTCATTTTCTATTTTCGTTTTCGTTCTTGGCCAGTCTTCTTCCGGCTGTTCCAACAGTTCTCATAGTCTTCCAATGTGGAGTAGAGAGCAAAATGATGACAAACGTATTGTATCCACTTGTCCTGTTGCATGGTGACTCGTGCCCCCTACTTTTGTCCATGTTACACGACTTATTTTTAGTTACCTACTTCTTATAACTACAGATTTAAAGATATTGCATGAATTCTTATGTTTACTTGTTTCTGTAAAAACTCAAGAGATTTCTTACGTGCTGCTAGCTTCAACGCAGTTCATGGTAATTGCATGCGCAGACTCCAGGGTCTGCCCTTCTACTGTTCTGGGGTTTCAACCAGGAGAAGCCTTCACAGTTAGGAACGTGGCAAATATAGTTCCCCCATTTGAGGTAATCTTTCTAAACAAATAATATCTATCTTGGCGCATGATGGCAAGGAAAACTCCATTGTTCCACTTCATTTAGATTTTTAGTTAACATATTCTCTCTTTCTGACAGCATGGACCATCAGAAACCAATGCAGCTCTTGAATTTGCCGTAAATTCTCTGGAGGCAAGTGATTGCTGGATATACTAAACCTTGTGAGGAAAATGTGCATGCACTTCTTATCATTAACATGAAAATGTTGACTCTCTTGGATAGGTTGGAAACATACTAGTAGTTGGACACAGTCGATGTGGTGGCATTCGTGCGCTTATGAGTGCAGAGGAGGATGCCGATGTTGGGTACTCTTCACATTGACTTCCTTCTCCATTCCCCTCTTTACCAATATGACACTTATCATGAGAAGAGACAACAAACTTCTGTTAGGATAGTAGAAACAACTAAAATTGTAATTCCTTATTGTGAGAACAGTGTCATTTAAACTAATTTTCAAATTTTTAGAATCGTCATCAAATAATGACTTTTGATAAATTTACTCTGACCTCATTTAATTTATCCTGACAGCCCTTTGATCTCATCTGGATCTGATAAAGGCTTCACAAGTAAGTGGGTTTCTGTTGCAAAGAGTGCTAGGCTAAGGGCAAAGGCAGCTGCAGGCAATCAGTGCTTTGATATGCAGTGCGAACACTGTGAGAAGGTAAACTCTAATGCTGAATCCAACATGTATCTATCATTATCACCAAAGTTTCGAATCCCTTCCTCCAAGCTTCCCTATTCTCCATAAGCAGTCATATTTCATCCAGATTTGCAATATTTTCTTTTCAAGTGGAACCCACATATTGCTGCTCTCGTCATTTGATGGAGAAGGTTGGAGTGTGTTTTTCACATTGCAAACAAGCGTCATATTCCTTTCTTGTGGTGTGTTCTTCAGTTTCCTTGTGGAGGAGAGAATATGCCCTGAAAGGAGCAAAATGAAGGTGGACTGGTCCCCTGTCACACTCATGTCCTACCCTGCCAGCCTAATTCCTAGACATGATTCCCAAGTGGAGCAAGGTGCTAGTTGTAGGAGGTGTTGAAGGGCTGGGCTTGGGGACCACAGGGTTTGATATCCTGTGGTGTGGGCTCCAGGGAAGAAAGATAGGGGGCGGTGGGTAGTTAGTGGTTGCAGGTTTTCTAGGAAAAGAAGAGAGTAGCCTTGGTCAGAATGTTACTAAAAAGCTCTACATTTTCTTACCGAGATCATGCTGATTTCTTGTGCAGTGTCCTGCTTAATAGTGTCCTGCTTGGAATTATCATTTCGTAGCAGTAGCCAGGAGTCCACTGTAGGGGATCCTCTTGAGTTTCAATCTGACCATCTGCCTGTCTGATGCTGCAGGAATCAATCAATGGATCACTGCAGAACCTGCTGTCCTATCCATGGATCAAACAAAGAGTGGTCGAGGGTAAGCTCGCCATCCATGGTGGGTACTACGACTTCGTCAACTGCACCTTCGAGAAATGGACGCTTGTATACAGGGAGAACGAGGAGGACGCCTTCAAGTATGGGATAAAGGATCAGGCCTTTTGGTCATGAAGGCACTAATTAGGTAACCCTTTTCTTGTCAATATTCCTATTATCTGTGTAATAATAAAAAATTCAGGTTGTTTCTTGTTAGAACAGTGCCTTAGTCCTCTGTATCTTCCCATGATGTATGCTTGGTTCATATGGGGGTGGATAATGTGCCTGCGTGCAATCTAATGTCAACGTAACTGCAGAACCTTGGTCATATTAACTTAATATTACGCACACTGTTAACTCCACCTTCTTAGAAAGGGCTTCTATGATGTCTCAACTAATGGACACATAAATGAATGATAAATAGCACAATATGGGATGTAGACACTAATAGAGAAGGATCATCTTTACTGAGAAGAAACGGTAATCTATGGTTTTTCTCTGGCAGGAAGGGGCAAAGTGTAAACTTGCTAAATCTTTTGATCATATCAACGGATTGCGATTTATGCTAAAACTGATCCCGACTTGTTGTAGCTTAATCCAAGACTAATGCTACGTCTCCTGATTTCCCCATTTCTCCACACCTTAGGGGATGGAGAAGCTGCTGTTTAGTTTTCCCATCAGTGATAATTCAAAATGCATGAAGAAAAATTCTGTGCTTCCTTTGTACAATCTATCATCACTTTTGTATCACTAATTCATAATTATAAGTTTATCATTGCTTCTCAAAGATGAGATTTCAAGATATGGAAAAAGAATTTTAGAGAGAGAGAGAGAGAGAGAGAGAGAGAGAGTCTTTGGAGGATCACCTACCCAAACTCTAAGATGCCACCGCCAGGGGGCATTTTCTCCTCAGTGAAGCTGTTCTGTCTTCTTTGATGCCACTTTATCTGTATGGAAAACACGTGGAATTTAGAGTAATCAATCAGCAGTAAATTGATTGGAAAACAATGACCTCATGGCCGTATTTGGTAAACCCTTTAATGCCCACTAGCCACAGTCGGTTGACACACTGGGAATGCAAGAGGCGGTCCTTTGAAGAGCAGAGGTCATAGAAAGGTAGACGAACCACCCTGAAGAACCAGAGTCCTTGATGCTGTAATGCCGATGAATATCATGTTTATTGGAGGAGGAACTGTTCAGGCAGTCTTCTGTCTGAACATCTTATTATGACTTGTGAGCACTTCTTGACCCAGACACTTTCTTAAAGCTTTTGGTGCTTCACCAACTCATATAAACTGAGGTTTTATTTGAGCTGTTGGTAATATCTTATGAAGTAGTTGATGTTGGCATTTAAAGTTTCAAGTTTCAATGATGGTAGAACATGTAAAAGGGTAGATTAATAATTTTACACCATCAAATTGATGGTGAGTTTATAAATGTATTGCCAAAATATTTTTCTAATCCTCAGTGAAGCGTCATATGATTTCAAGACTGTTTTTGAAAAATAGTATACATGTTCTTACTTACAGAAGGAGAGTTGAATCTTAAAGAACTCATTTGATAGTAGAGGTTCCTTTTCTCTTTAGGAAATCTATGCTATTTTGATGATAAAAAAATACTTGGAAGAATAATTTGATGAATCTAGTACCTCTAAAATTAATTATTTGAATCAAGTCGATGATTATTATTGAGGAATACATTAAAATTAGGACAATTCAACTCAAGGGTAAAATCATTATTTTACATAAGAAACTAAATTGAATATTCTCATAACCTTTGAAAATTCTCTAAGTTTTTTACATATGCGATAATGTCTTACAATATTTATTGGGTATTTTAGTGTAATTACATTTGAAAATTATTTTTATGCATTAATTCATGTGTTGATGGATGAGGTGAGGAAGAAGACGACTGTTGGCCATGGCACAAAATGATAAAAAATAAATGTATATTAAAAAATAAGAAAAAAATCGTGGATATAAAGAGAACACTCTCCTAAAGTCCAAATAATTAGATATAATGAAGGAATTATAATTGTGAAACAAAATAAAAGAACAGAAAAAGGAAAAAAAAATGCATGATCTCAACAAGGACCTTACCAAAATGAGAGATCAAAAGGCTCCATGAAGCATTGTGTGCAAATTAGTATAATGGTAACTTATTCTTCTTGTATTTTAGAGTAAGTATAGTACTGAGGGCTAGTCTACAACCTCAACGTTGAGAAGATTAACTAGTGGTAATCCTGCTGTCCCTCTAGAGCCATTAATTTGGAAGAAAGATGTGGTTCTCCCTTATTTAGAGCCATAAGTATACCAAGAGGATCTCTTGGTGAAATCCTGAGTCAAATCTAGAGGAGGGTAAAACTTGTAATTTAGTATGTATTTGACTAATGGCTTAGTGGAATCTAAGGACATGATCTTTTGAGAGTGAACTAGGTCAAGTAGACCGAACCATTAGAAATTGAATGAAATATATTTTCTTCAAGAGCATCCAACAGCCAAAAGCCAAGTCCAATTCAGTCCCTCCCCTTCTTCATACCTTGTACTATCATATGAAATTCAAGGCATTCAAGATAAATGGAATGTACTCTCATTGATCCCTATAGGGGAAAGAACAAGATACAACAAACAACACCTTGATGTACTATACTTTTCATGATAACAAGACTCATGGTCGTATTTTTCTTCAATGATTTGATATTATATGAAACTATTCATCTAAGTTGTTAGAAAAACTTGCTTCTTTGTTAGCACCTTTGCACAAGTAAAATTGATATGTCTAGAAGGCAATGCATTTAACCAAATTTATTGGTGAACCTATTGTTCTTCTCAGTTTACAAAGAAATAGATTTAGATATATTTATGTCCCGAGTATCTAAAATATAAAATATGACCAAAAAAATATTAAAATTATGAGATTTTAATACTGGATTTTCTTTTTTAAAAAATTGCGACTTCTACCCATTATATAGAGAATTGATTTTGATATTTTCCTGATTAAAAGAAACTATAGAGTTTTATCAGAGGAACATAATTCGCGTAGCTTTTATCCAAAAATATGCAGTTGGTCATCTCTCTATTCGGGAGAAGAGGGAGAGAGGAAGGGAGAGAGGGAGGGAGAGAGAGGGAGGGAGCGAGGGAGGGAGCGAGGAGGGCGAGGGAGGGAGGGAGGGAGGGAGGAGGGATGGAGAGAGGAGGGTGAGAGGGAGGGAGCGAGGAGGGAGCGAGGGAGGGAGCGAGGGAGGGAGGAGAGGGAGAGAGCGAGAACGAGGGAGGGAGCGAGGGAGAGAGCGAGGAGAGCGAGGAGAGGAGCGAGGAGGGAGCGAGGGGAGAGAGCGAGGGAGAGAGCGAGGGAGGGAGCGAGGGAGGGAGCGAGGGGAGAGAGCGAGGGGAGAGAGCGAGGAGAGAGCGAGGGAGGGAGCGAGGGAGGGAGCGAGGGAGAGAGGGAGGGGGAGAGGGAGAGAGAGAGAGAGAGAGAGAGAGAGAGAGAGAGAGAGAGAGAGAGAGAGAGAGAGCTCTTTGATCAATAACCTACAGTCACGACCGTCATTCTCCTGTGATTACCCGCCCGGTGGGAAATGAAGTTAATTCCGTCGTCATCTCAGCCCAGTCCCTCTCTTAGAAGATCAAAAACTAATACTACAAGTGTAGTAGTTCCTAGATACATCATTCATCCTCTTCACGGGGAGATGATCATCATGTGGTAAAACCAGCAAGATGAACTCCACACAAATACGACCCACACGCGGGAGTTAAAGATATCACGCGTACCAGAACAAGAAACGTCTCTGGAAGTTGTCTAACAGTAGTATGCACATCCACCGTCAAGTTGCAGAGACCGCATCCTCTTCGCCGCCGCCATCGCACGGCCGCCGGAGGGAACCTCCCCCACGACGGACCGCAGCGCCGCCAGCAGAGCTGAGAGCTGCTGCTCCCCTTCTCCCTCCGCTGTTGACAGGGGGTCAACAACGAGCACCGCCTTCGTCCTCCCCCCCACCGTCGCCATCTCCACCCTCGCCGGACGAATCCTCGAGGACCGGATGGCCTCGCCGACGTCTCTAAACAGGCCGCTTCGGTCCTGGCAGCAGAACGACGCAGTGGCCGTCCTTCCGCTTTCGCCGTCGCCGCTGCAGTCGAGGAGAACTTCGTCCTCTTCTCCCGGGAACGAGCGGCCGCAGCAGGCCTCGTTGACCCCCACCGCATCGGCGGCGCGCCGCCGCAGGTCTCGTATCTCCCTCACGACCTCCGTCAGTAGCCCTGCCTTGTCCATCTGTGGCAGAAGGGGACGTAAAACTGATGAATATGGAGCAGGACCCAAAACTGTGGAGATTGAAAACAGGGAAAAGGGAAGGCAGCGAGAGAGGACCCACTCTGGATGTGTGGGGGAGAAGCTGGCGGAGCCTGCTGAGCTGGTGGTTGATCCGCTGCCGCCTCTTCCTCTCCGCTTCGCTGTGGCTGTTGCACGCTCTCTCCACCTTCGCCGCCGCAACTGCAACGGGAGAGGTCAACGGAGGAAGAGCTCCACCACCTTCCGTCGTCGTGTGTCTCATTTGTTACCGGACAGTAGAGGAGGTCGAAGGAGAGGACAATCGCGAGCGCCCACGGAGGAAGCGCGTGGGAGAACTCCAATAAATAGGCGTCTGTTATCGCCAGCATCTGTGGAGATAAGCGCACTAATAGCGCGATATCACATCGCGGCAGGTTAAAATCCTCCCAAAATCTTCGCATCAGATGGAGACCATATCCATTAAATAGTCCATAAAAATGATCCTTTTAGTTTAAAAACCAGATGGGAATGTTTATTATGTTGAACGCTCCATCATCCAATGGAGACATATTCTCACCAGTTAGAGGTATTTGGTCGCTAAGGAATCTCTCAAGAGTATTGGGAGGAATAGCTCGGTGATTGGGCCTCTGGGGACGACGTTCATGTACATCGATCACGGCTGCGAAGTTGTGTTTATTTCTATCAGAAACCTGTCAATCAGTAAATCGTGCACAAACCCTGGATGAGCACGCATCATTTGAAATGAAGCTTGTCTCGTGAGATGAGTACTATTCAATCAACGTATTCCGATAACAAGGGCGAGTAAAAGGTGGATGCTCGGAGTCCTCTACCCGATCGTCGAGCCGAAAGGCGGTAAAAACGTTGTGTAATTTTTCTGACTTTCAGTTTGATAACTCTCTTCTCTCTATCTCTCTCTCTCCCCTCTCTCTCTCCATCTCTCCCTCTTCTCTCTCTCTCTCCCCCCTCTCCCTCTCTTTCTCTCTCTCTCCCCCTCTCCTCTCCCTCCTCTCTCTCTCTCTCTCTCTCTCTCGCTGTATTGGTGTTATAACTTTTGGTTGGTTTAATTTTTTCAGCATTTGCTGGACAATCGAGCCCCGCGAATTCGGTCTTGATCCGCATGGAAAATCTCACCGCAAGAGGTCCAATGGTTCACAGCAGGTGCAAGCTAGTAGTGGAGCTATTTAGGGTCACAGAAGGGCGGGTGAAGCCACGGATGGCTGGCTGTTCCCGGGGGGAGTCTACGTCTGCGGATGGTCGTAGCAGCAGCAGCTGCTTTGGTGGGGACAGAGAAGCAAAAAGCTGAAGAGGGTGCTAGGCAGAATAGAGGCTGAGGAAAAGAAACTCTCCTTCCGACGTCGCTGCCTCTCCAACACTCCTTCCTCACAGTGTTCGGTCCGCGCTTTCCGTCTTTCTTCCCTCTCTAAACCCTTGTCAACTACGGCATCTCTCTCTTTCTCTCTCTCTCTCTCTCTGTCTGTCTGGCCTGCCATCTTTGTTGCTGGGTCTTTTGAGGGCACAGGAGACATGGATGGGAACAAGACGACGGTTCGGTCCCGTTGAAGACGGAGAAGGGAGTCCCTTCAAGGTGGCAGGTCAGAAACCCGGGGAATGTCGCCGAGACCAGATCAACGACCGGTCGGCGCAGCTTGAACAGGCCCCTTCGCTGAGTAGCGGTCAAGCTGTACCTGCTCCTACGAATGCCCGGCACCTCTTTCACATGGACTCTGCTTTCCATAGGATTATCTCTGCTCACGTAGAAGAAAATAAAAGAAACTACTATTTCTTAGACCAGCCCAGGTTTCTCTACGTAACCTTTATCAATCATAAACGTGTGATAACAGCTCTTGGGTACCATTCTTGCTCTTATCATGGGTAGATGTGGCCTGGAAGCTTAGGTTGTCATCGCATGCACTCAAGAAGCATTCTGAGAGTTAGTATATTGGAGGGCTGATATTTTGAAAATCTTGACAAGTGGCTCTTGTGAGGGCAAAAGTCTCAACATTAAACCAAAGTTTCACTAACTTTATTGTTTTTGTAAGGTATTATGTTTTACAAATTATTGTTTTCCCATCATTCTTTTCTGGTTTTTCTTTCAACCTTCATTATTCATATCATTTCACTGCATCTGTACCTAGATTGAGGGGTATTTGTTCAGACCCTAACATCACAGATAGGTCAAAAGGGAAAGAGGTCTTGAAGAAGCCGGCCCAACCCAGAAACGGAGCGGGACAGACGAAATCTAGACACCGAAGGTGACAACCGCACGTGGGATTTCTGCAGAACACTAAACGTGTGCGGTGAATGAAATCCAACGAGGAACCGTAGCAGACCCGACAGAGACTAAGCATGGCACTCAGGTCCCGTCAGACCCGAGCGGAAGAGACGGAAGGCAGTGGCCGACGCTAGAGGGCTTCGGCTATAAAGAGGGGCCGAGCGGCCACAGGAAAGGCAGGTCGGAAGAACCTCGTGAAGACTCCTTGCGAAGTGGAGAATAGCCCTCTCGAATCGGCGAACCCAAGACCCGAGAGGTCTTGGTTATTGTCCTTTCTCTCTCTCTCTCTCTCTCTCGTTGTCTCTCGCCTCGCTCTCAGCCATTCTCGGCTTCCCGGCGGGAGTTATCCGGCACCCGGACATCCGGAGGTTTATCTATTTAACTGGTCAGTATTTTGATTCCTCATCAAAGGGGCCTCGTCAGTATTATTCCAGAAAAATGCAATCTTGATTTATAGCTAAAAAAGGAAATGAAATTGAGAGTACCTGCTAGCTCTAAGAGAAAGATTGGGGAGGAACCACACACTCATATTCTTCTCTTTAGTTGTGTTAGGGCACAATATACGAGGTATATATTACCCCTCATTCCAAGTCTTACTCTCAATACACTTATCTTTAATTCTCCTTTACTTGGCCTGATAGAATCTCCACTTAAACCGCTTTCCTACCTTCCCTACTACCCCCATCTCTTCAAGAACCACCACACCCAAACATAGTAACAGTTCGCAATCAACCACCATCCCTATTTGTCTTTACTAGTACATAATTCACTTGGCCATTCAGACTTTCTTCTTAGAATATTTGGGTATTCATTAATGAGATAATATGCTTATTTGGATGATCCTAGCTGGTATCAATTGTTGAATTAAATCCTATATTAGTTTCCTTAAATGCTGTATGAAATTCCCAAACCAGTCTGCTATACTAGCCCACTTCCTTGAAATGATAAGTGCAAGATTGCACCTTGTTTGATCAAAGATAATATGAGGAAGATAAGGCTGATTCCATGCTCTTCTGAAAGTAAAGACCAAGCAGAAAGGACATTAATAGAAGCCAATACTCCTAAAGATATCTAACTGGTCCAAAGGAATAAGAGCATCAAGTACAAGAGGGATCCTCAATCAAGGCTTTGTGTCTTTTGGACTCCATATAATGACATTCCACCAGAAATCTCATTGATACTATCAAGCCAATTAATTCACACAAGAACCTATTTACTTTGATAAATGATAGCTAGAGCTTAAAGAAGGTATGTGATTATCATCTTATGGCATTCGTCCTTTTCAACTAGTTCCCAAAACACTTTAAACCTACGGCATAAGTTACATTAGGATTGTTAAATGTATCACACTGAATCTGTATACTATTCATCTAGGACCTGAATAGTCAGATTAGTTCCATCTTAGTGTTCAGATTTAGTTAAATACTAAATCAGCACCAGTTCTAGATGTACAGTTCAGATTTAGTTCCATCATTTGAATAATCATCACCCATTAAAAATCAGCATCCTCTTGAATGGACAATAGCTGTAATCAAAATGAGAAATAGTTGTGAAATATTTTTTCTCATGTGGGTAGAAAAAATGATCTAAGTCACTTCTGGTAGTATTCTTAAAACTTACAACCACTAAATACTGATTTATCTAGTCACCGGACAATTATCAACAGCATAAATTTTAGATTTTAAAAGATTATGGGAGGAATCAAGAGGGAGATTGAATTATTATTATTCAGACTTATAATTAAATTTAAGTTTATTTTTACAATGACAACCATGGTTTAAATAATTTGGCATACTAGGCTCACTCTACTCTCTATTTTTTTCTTTTATGACCACGCCCTTAGGTTCCAGTACCTTTTACTAGTATAAGCTAATATGATTCAGTTGCCCTGATGTTAGAGTTGGAGACCCAAATGCCAAAGGTTCATCCAGGCAAAAGCATGTTAAATATAGTCACATACATGCCCAAACCAAGAAATATTCATCGATACCACAGATGCAAAGATTCAATACCTTTACTGATTTAGAAAATATAAACAATATTGTATCAGCAAGTCGGATATTCAGAAGATATAACCCCCCCATGAATCAAAAATATTTGCTTTCACAACAATCAAATTTGGACAAAACAAAAGAGGTCATTCCATGAACTCAACAGAAGAGGTCCTCAAGCAGTGTCATTCCATGAACTCTCATCAAAGAGATGGATCCATAGTTGTGCTCAATGGCACAGACAAAATGGCATGGAGCTGCTGATTCTGCAAACTTTCACATCAGTCTTGAAGATGAGTCCCCTCCCAGAAAATGCAGATTAGACTGTTCATTTTTAAGAAATGGGGAACCTGATGGAGCAATAAGGGCCAACTTCTGCATTACTTTGGTTCTTCTCATTGTGCTAAGTGACTTCTCCTCTTGTTCATGCTTTCCATGATAAGAATTTGAATACCAACAGAATACAAAGTAAGACTCGGGAGAGTGGCAAAGTGCTTAAAAAGGACAAGGTACCAATTACTCACCTGGCGCTGCTTTCTTGCATTCACAGCTTGCTCAGCCTCTTTCATCACATTCTGTTCCTTTACCTCCTCTTGCCTGATAACCTCAGGGCATAATTCCAGCTTCTCACCTCTCTGCATTACTCTGCCTCCAGTCTCTTCTTTCAACAAATCCCTCTTTATTCCTTGTCTTCTGTTCAACAAAGTTCCATCTGTTATCTCCGAGGTGATGGGCTGTTTTCTGATTTCGCTCTTCTTCAACTTCAAACCCAGTGGATTACTACGACCAAATTTTTCAGGCCAATTAATTCCACATCCATGATTCACGTCGGGTTTCACGTCTTGCAGAGTCTAGTCTCTCCCCACTCCTCTGTGGTTCTGTCTTCTTGTATAATACTTCTTTGGATTCTTCATTTCAGAGCTGATACTTTCCTTCTTTGTACCTTCTCCATCATCTTCTTCAATGAGGGTCCTGACCTGAATCCAGTTTTCACTCGTC